CAGCCGGCCATCTGCCCTTCCGGCCTCGGGTATCTGTTGAGATACCCGGGTATCCGCTGGAAAATCAGCGGAAAGGGCACATCCGCACCCAAAACCGCATCCGCTGGCGGGTATCCGCTACAGCGGGCGGGTATCCGCCAGCGGATAACGGATATCCAGAGACCAGCTCTAGCGTTGGAAGAGGCTGCATAGATGTCATTATTCCAAGGCTCAACACAACAAGCTACCCCCTGATTCTGATCTCAAAGGAACAACTCGCTCACATTTTCTCTTTGTCCAAAAATCTCACAAACATGCAACATACAGTTTAATACAGATGAGCAAGATGTGAGCAGATCAAAAAAGCGGCCAGCTTGCCTGGAGAACCATGGAAATGAGATTATTGACAACTACCTTGTGGCCAAGTTTGTCCGTCTCTGTGGCCAACTTCAACTGGTTCTCAGATCAGCTTCCAGACTATCTATAGCACCACCCATTCGGACACAGCTTACCTTCAGAACTCCGTCCATGCCGCTTCTCTTTCAAAAAGTCCTGTCCTCAAAACAAAAAACCCATTTTTCTTTTTTTCAATCACTCAAAACTCCTCCTTGAGCAGCGTTATAAAGCACATTTGAAGAAAAAAACAAAGTAAAAATCTATGGCAAACTTTGAAGCTTCACAAAGGTCTGTGCAAAGTGATTCAATTTCTTTTTTCAAAATCTTGGTTATTTATAGGGCGTTGATCAACCGACTCCCAAATATCGGAGAGTCGACTCCCAAACCCGGGTTTCCCCGAAATTTGGGAGTCAATTCCCCAAACCCGTCAGTGGGTTTGGGAGGGGCGTTGATAAACGCACGCCAGCCCCCCTGGCGCACTCCAAACCGCACGCCAGGTGGGGATTGGCGTGCACGCCTGCACGCCAAAGAAAATTGGCGTGCGGGCCCGCACGCCAATCTACAGAATGTAGACCGGCGTGCAGGCCTGCACGCCAAGGATTCGCCGCCGTCCCATAGGACCCAGGCATGGGTCCTATGGGACGGCCCCCTTTTTTTCATTTCAACAACCATCCGGAGTAGATAAGCTGATCCCACCACCAGACCAACCCGAAATTGACAATCAGACCAAGCCAGAAGCTCAAAATCAAGGCCCAATCAAGATCGATCTCGAACGCGACTCGAGCCCAGAAACCGCACTCAACAACGTCTCCACCATTAAAGCTACCTCCAAAGAAGGCAGTAGTAGTAGTAGTAGTAGTGCAGCCTGCAGTCCGACAAGTGCTAATCCGAGTAACGAGAGGCCAGGCACGGCGGCGATGGACTTGAAATTGGCCTCCGATCTCACCGATGGCGATCTCTTTGGCGATGGCAGCCAACTCAACATTAATCCTCTAGTTTCCAATGTCCATCATCTCGCTCTGCCGACTACTTCCTTCAACAATACTACGCCTTCTTCGTCCTCTACGTCCCCTGCTGCTGCTGCTTCGTCGGCTTCTTCTGAAGATCCAGCGGCGCTCCCGACGCCCTCTCCCCTCGCCCATCTTCCCACCCCTTCTTCTAATAATAATAATGGTGCTGTGACTAATCTTAATCCGGTCGACTTCGAAGCTATGTTCGCTAATATTCAGTCTCACCTTCCTCCCTCTTAATCTCATCCTTTCTCTCTTATACAAACTCACATTTGTTGTTGTACTTCTTCTATTTTTCTTTCGTAATGATCTTGATAGAGAATTCTAACTTGAATCTCACTCTTCAAATTTCTATCATCTCACACATCAACCTCAATGATCTGAACGGTTCAATCAAACCATTAGATGGAGGAGTAGTAGCTAGGAGTGAAATGTTATTCAGAGAGAGAATATTTGAATTCTGAAGGTTTTTGTACCTCTGAAACAATTGAAGAAGCTTGATTGGATCGAGAAACGATGATCTGAAAACACATAAGACTTGATTGCTCCAGTTATGTAACTCTCATTTTGGGAGAAGGAGAAAATGAGGTTGACTGGACATCAATCAATGGGGAAAATGTATTGAGAAAGGAGAGATGGTTCGTTGGTGTGGTACATACAAACTGATCAATTCTCATCATCAAATTTAAAACTCATCCGAAAATACCAGCTCGTCGGAAGGAATTCCTTCCGACGAGCTGGTACACAATCCAGCTCGTCGGAAGGGAATCCTCCCGGCGAGCTGGTAAAGAAACCAGCTCGCCAGGAGGAACCCCTCCCGACGAGCCGGTGTGACCTCGGCCTCTTTAGGCCGAGGGGATTTGAAAATAAAAAAAATGAAATGAAATGAAATGAAAAAAAAGAAAAAGAAAAAGGGGAAGGTCCCATAGGACCCATGCCTGGGTCCTATGGGACGCCGGCAAATCCTTGGCGTGCAGGCCTGCACGTCGGTCTACACTCTGTTGATTGGCGTGCGGGCCCGCACGCCAACTGGCGTGCGGTTTGGCGTGCGCCAGGGGGGGTGGCGTGCATTTATCAAGCCCCGTTTGGGAGTCGGCCTCCAAAAAAATTTGAATAAAAAAAAAGAAAACCCCCGGCGGGGTTTGGGTGTCAATGCCAGAACCAAAAAAAAAAAAAAAAAAACCGACAGCCGGGAGGATTCCTCCCGGCCTCGGAGAGTGCTCTTGACGGCTGAGAGAAAACCCTCTCAGCCGTTGAGTATAACCCTCAACGGCCGAGAGGGTTTCTCTCGGAGGTCAAGGGTGTACACCCCAACGGCCAAGGGAAACTTCTCAGCCGTTGAGACCTCAACGGCCAAGAGAAACCTCTCGGCTGTTGGAGGTGTAGCCCTGGACGGCCGAGTGAAACCTCTTGGCCATTGAGGGTGTACACCTCAACGACCGAGAGGAAACATGTACGACCAAGAGGGTTTCCTCTTGGTCATTGAAAATGTATACCCTCAACGGCCGAGAGTATACCTCCTGGTCGTTGAGGGTATACACTCTCGACGGCTGAGAGGATTTCTCCCGGGCGTCGAGGGTGTACCCTCAACGGTGTGTACCTCTCGGTTGTCGAAGTGTACACCCTCAATGGCCGAGAGGATTTCTCTCGGCCGTTGAGGTGTACACCCTCGGCGGCTGAGAGGTTTCTTTGGGCCGTTGAGGGTTATACCCTTAACGCCCGAGAGAAATTCTCTCGGCCGTCCATGAAGCACTCTCGCCGGGAGGAATCCTCCCGGCCGCTGGTTTTATTTTTTTTTATCACCGACCCCCCAAAACCACTTGGTTTTGGGGCATCAACACCCAACCCCTCTGGGGTTTTTCTTTTTTTTTTATTTAATTTTTTTTGAGGGCCGACTCCCAAACCCACCGACGGGTTTGGGGAATCGACTCCCAAATTTCGGGGAAACCCGGGTTTGGGAGTCGACTCTCCAATATTTGGGAATCGGTTGATCAACTCCCTATTTATAAGTGGGGCCTTGTAATTGCACTGCTTGGGCTCACTAGAGGCACCAATTGTACTGGTCCATAAAAGTTCATCCTCCCCCCCCTCCCCAAAAATGAGATCAGAGCTATGAGCATGCATCTTGACTGATCAGGAAATCAGAGACTCAACAGACAGATGCAAAGGTGGCCACAACAGCAATCTGGTGTATTCTGAGATGGACAACAGGAAGGATACTTAAGAGGACCTATTTGTTCAGACACAGTGTATGCACAATGATCTCTCGGTTTCGTGTATCCTTACGTAGTAAGCATTATTATACTTTGGTTTGTTTGTGTGTGTTTTTTTTGGAAAGGTGATCAGTCATGGACAACGATGAAAAAAACTTACTGATAAAAAAAAAGAGAGAAAAGATAATAATAATGATGATATGTAGATACTAGTATTAATAATAATCAACCAGACCAAACAAAAAAAAGAAGATTTGGGAGAGAGGAAACAGGTAATCATGAGTTTTCGAGGGTTGTACTGTCAGAAAATATCTTTTTTTTGGGGGGGGGGGGCAAAGAGAATCCATCGAGGATGTAAAAAGCCAACGCAAAAGAAAGAAAAAGAACACAAGATTACGAAGAACACAAAAAAACAGTTATATGGGGGGGGAAGAAAGTAGATGTGAAAAAAAAGGATGCCAAATGAAAGGGAGCGATTGGAAGGCGAAGTGAAAATAGGAGAAGAAGGAGGTGAGAGGTGAGAGAGAGAGAAGAGCTCATAGGATCTTACAGACCCTACGCTTCATCTTCTCCATCTTCCTGCCCCTCATCGCCAATCGCAATGCAGCATTAAAGACCTCCTTGACCCCGATATTGTGTTTGGCCGAACACTTTTTGGGACATGAAAGATGCGAGTGGGTTAGGTGGTTGATCAGGAAGACGAAAAAGAGGGAGAGAGAGAGAGAGACGGACCTCCATGTAAGTGGCGCCGATCTCTTTCGCGACCGCTTGTCCTTGTTGCGGCGTGATCGGCGTTGTCCCTTGGGCGGCTAATAGATCCGACGTTCGTTGGTCTTTCCGTAGATCGATCTATCACGTATCCCCAAAAAAGAACATCCAACCTCTGTCAACAACAAAAACACGACCTTTTGCGTTTCTTTTGGAGCCAGACTATCCTTCTGTTGATGGCTCGGGTGAGAAAACGGGCTTAACTTTGGTTCCGACGAGGATCAAGGGGACGCCTTCACAGAAGTGGGAGACCTCGGGATGCCACTAGGGAGCAGAAGCGGAGCAAGAAAGCGTGAGACACCAAAGTGGAGAAGAAGAAGAAGAAGAAGAGAGATGAGATACTTTATCGGTGACATTAGCGAGACTTGTGGGGAAATCGATGGCGAAGCAGATGAAGATGACGTCGCTTTCGGGATAACTCAAGGGCCGAAGCCGGTCGTACTCTTCCTGGCCGGCAGTGTCCCAGAGCGCCAGCTCGACAAACTTGGACGAATCTGTCGGGAACGGGACCATCGTCACATAGTTCTCGAAGACCGTCGGGATGTATGCCTGTGTGGATGTGAATGAGCAGCGGGTCCCGTTAGCTACGGGCGATCTGGCTCGCTCGGAAGCTTGCGCGGAAGGGTTGGAAAGCCGAGATGTGGACGACGCTCACCTCCGGGAATCGGTTCTCTGAGTACATGATCAGTAGACACGTTTTTCCGCATCCTCCATCTCCTGTCACGACAAGCTATACATGACAAAAGAAATGAGAAGTTGAAGAGAGTGACGGAAAGCCATTAGTAACAACAGAGAGAGAGAGAGAGAGAGTTGGGGAAAGAGGAGAGAAGGGGAGAGCGAGTTAAAAAAAAGATGGGGGCGACAGACCTTCCGTTTGGCATCCGGTTTTCGATAACTAAGGGTTCCGGAGACGGATCCATTAGCGGTAGAAGCGGAGCTGATTCCGGCGAGATTAGAGCCGGAGGATTGGGCGACGTCGCCGTAGACGCCATAGGTGGCATAGGAGGAGCCCGAGGCGGTGGTCTGGGTGGTTTGGTAGCCGGACTTGTGCGGGTTCGAGGTGTCGTATTCGGGGCGATAGTCGCATGTGTTGTTGCTGTTATTATTGTGCTCATTCGGATGATGGTTGGTGGCGTATGATGACATCCTGTTGTTGTTGTTGGTTTTTGCTGACTGTGAAAAGACACTCGGTCGATTCGGTTCTGGGTAGATGGGCTCGCTTCTCGGCTGTTCTCTGCTCTGGAATGTTTTATGTGTTTGTAGGGCGTTCTATGTATTGTTTTTTCGGTTGAGGGTGAAGGTGTTTGTCAAGATGTATGTAGCTGGGCAGAAGAAACTGTCGTGGTTGGGCGTGGGTTGCTTTTTTTTTTCTGGCGGGGGATGATCAGGAAGCGGTGAACTTGGACTCTACGAGTCTACATATCGATTCGACCGTTGGTTGTTGTTCCAACCAAAAAAAAAAAAAAAAGAAAAAGAAAACACTATTCTAATTCTTCTTCATATAAAATCAACCATCTTATAAAAAAACAAGAGAAGAACACGTACATATCCAGATACATAATCAGCATCAACCAACAAAGAACACAAAAGCTCGTCGCGTCAAGTTTCAAAGCGCCACCCATGGCACAGATCAGCAGCAGCAAGGCTAACTTAACACCAAGTCCTTCTCCTACAAATACCCACTTCGATCCAATATTAAAAGCAACCCCAAAGATGAGAACACTAATCCTGACAAGTTCCTATCCCACTCTCTCTAGCATCATTATCCGACCCATCGAAACTTATACTCCCTGAAAAGAATGCAAACCGAAGACGCGACTCGACGCGATCTATTCCACATCAATGCAGACATCTCTGTAAAAAAAAGAACAGGGAACCACTGTCCCCCAGAACCGAGTTGGGGCCATGAAACCAAAGGAATTTCGAGTCCACTATGAAGATTGACTTCTGCAAGGGCTGGATCCATGAGTCCACATAGGAAGGCCTCCACTTATAGGAGACAATTTGGTGTTAGTGCTTTTTTTCTTTTTACAAAGACGGTGGAATGATGCACCTCTGATTGATGGTAATGATTATCCGCTGAATCAATAATGGAGGACTTCCTGTGGGATCTGGGACCATTGCAGAAGTCAATCTAGACCCGAAAACTCTTAATTCTTGCAGAGGAATTTGAAATTTTGAGGCTCTAGACTGGCTCTGGGAGACCCACAGATGTTGACAGGAAGTTGTCCCAGAAGCCCTGCATGAAACCTAAACAGCCCAGATCAAGCTCTTGGTCCAACTTCCCAGACAGACTCATGAGAATGGATGGCTGTATTCACACACACACACATCATACATGCCATCAATCATGCAGAGCTTTCTTACAACCAGAGATCTGCCTCCTGATGATCTTCAATATTAGCTCTGGATCCTCTAGCTATCACCTTGTTATGAAATATGGCCTGATTGGGTTTTTGGCTCCCAACTTTTTTTCATCAACTCACAACAGCCATCAACAGATGTCTGTGGATGTCTGTTGAGACTCATACCTCCAAATTGATATCAATTTAGTATTATTTTTAAGCTTTGGGAGTTGGCTTCCCAAGCCACCCCTCACACATGGGTGTGAATGAACAAACTAAAGGTTTTATTTCTTATGAGTAACATGTATGTAACAATGTGGCAAAGAAGAAATAAAAAGGAACAAAAAGAAATGAATAAATACCTAAAGGCAGAAACAATGCAGTGACAGGACAATGACACAAGAGAGCAGACAACAGGAGGATAATGGAAAAAGAAGAACTAAGGCCCCGTTTGGCCGTCCATGATTTGTAATTTTGAGTTGAGGTTTGGCAGGAGTTTGTGCAAAAACCTTATATCGTTTCATATTGCACGGTCCAAATCCCAGCCAAACTTAGCCAAATCACAAATAATGATTTGCGGCCAAACGGGGCCTAATATAAGAGTGATCAGTCAGCTGCCATTGAGATGAGAGAAAGGGCTGTTGAGTGAGAACATACTAGACGACAAAAGTCTTGTGATTCAGCAGAGAGGTTGTTGAGCAGTCAAAGGGAAGTGGAAACAAACAGGTCGGCAAGCAGTCAAAAGGAAGTGGAAAAAGAGATGAGCAAACAAAGCACTTTAGGAGATGGTCATCAGAAGTATATTGATGAGTCTGGGAAGAACGGTTCAGCAAATGAGATTTTAAGATAATGTTGCTGAAGAAGATCGATTGATGAAAAAGAAGTTGATGATGTTCCTCCAAGAGAAAACCCGGAATCAAGAAGTCATGGAAAGGAGTCTTCTTTATATGTTCGAGAATCGTGATGACAAGGGATCGAGCGGAGTTCTTGCAGAGGAATGAAAGTATCTGACCAAGTGTCTGAGAGCGGATTTTAAGAGAAATGATGTCATATTGAAGTTGGCCACTTGGAGTCATAGAGGGATGTCACACAGATGTTACTCATATGTTAACAATGGGGTGGGGGGGATTGCCCCCACTTGACCAGAAGGGATTCCTCCCAGTCAATCAGGTACAGCCACCTCATCAACTGGAAGGGGAGGCACAGCTTATATTGGAGTACCAAATGAAGCATGCTCATGGGATCAACCACTTTGACTACATATATAAGATGTTGGAATTTCACTCATCCTCAATTTGCTTTTTTTTTCTTTAGTCACTCATTTTGTTCCGCCAAGCTCTTTTGTTGCCCTTATTCATTATGCTTAGTTCACCAAACCACAACTTGAACTACTTGTATCTAGAATATTTAATCCCTCTAGACTACAGCTTAATAATAAAAACATTGGTTCTTCATTCTTTTTGGATTGTTCCTGAAGGAGCACTTCAGCCCTTCTTCAGCCTTAGTTTGCAAGCACTTTAGCCCTCTCAGCTAGAATAGAAAAGAATTATTCTTTGGTCTTTCAGCCAGATTTACAACATAAGAGAATTACCCAGATGCACCAATAATGATAATCAGGATTGAAACCTAATTGTAGACAGAATATAGGTAATATCTCTCTTTCACTTGCTTGAAAATCTCTTCATTTCTCATTCAAGTTCCATAACATCACTAATTTTTGGAATTTCACAGCTCTCTCTTCTCTTCCTCTCCTGTCAATTGTTCTCCATCTATTCAGATGAATATGCATGTTGTTTTGCCTTCTGTCCCACAACTCTTCCCTAACCACTGTAATAGCACACCTGTGTAAGCTAAATTCTTCCATTCCAAATGGAAGAAAATGGTGTCATCATCATCCTTTTAGAACCAAAGGCCAGCCAGAGCTGAGTGAGCTGTGCTGAGCTGGATGCCCAGCTGACTGGACCTGCACATTCAAAGTCAGACACAAAGCCTCTGTATTTGAATGGTCTGCAGCTCGCTCCAAATTGCCCCACCCCCTGGGTTGTTAGTTCAATCCCCAATGGTGGTTAGGGTTTAGGGTTTAGGTTGGTTAGGGCTGTTTTTTTTTATAAAAAAATTGGCAAAACCGGTTTTTACCCAGCTCACATACCACCCCCCCCCCAGATCATATATCAGCTCACCCAGCTCTGCTTGTTCTTTGGTTCCAAATGGATGATAATGACACCATTTTCTTCTGTTTGGGACCAAAGGATCCAATTCCCAAAACTCAAGTCACTCTTGAACAATAAGATAAGTATTTTTGTTATTATTTATAAAACTTGAAATGACATAACAGCTAATTAGAACTTCATTTGGTTCATGTTTTTACATCATAGCCCAAACTGCTGACTCAGGATTGAACAGCCTCACAATGGCCGTTGAAGTCAACCAACTACTCAAGAAGCATGTGAATCACAGTAAGGAATTCTCACTCCCCCAAGAATCACATCTAGTGATTCTGTCACAAGCTGGCACTTTTCCTCAATGCCGGCCTCAAAGCAATCTCAGCACCCTGAAAAAATCAAATCCCCACCAGTAGAGATGGTTGTGCGGTATCTGTTGCAGATAGTTGCTATCCGCTGGTGGATACCCCCCAGCGCCAATGGATACCCTCCAGGGTGTGCGGATTGAGCTGCGGATGGCCATTTCCCCCCCCCCAAACCTGGCGGGTATCTGGGTATTCCCAGGGATACCCAAGGCCAATGGCCGGCTGGAAGGGTTTCCTTCAAGTCAGAAAGGATGTACATTTCTGGCTGGAAAGGTTTTCTTCCAGCCGGCAAGGTACACGTACCTTTTCAACTGGAAAGTTTCCTTCCAGTTGATGAGGTACATGTACCTTGCCAACTGGAAGGAAACCCTTCCAGTGGATGAGGTACATGTGCCTCGCCAATTGGAAGGAAGCCCTTCCAGGCAACAAGGATAAACCCCTCCGGCTGGAAATGTTTCCTTCCAGCCTGCAAGGTACATGTACCTTGCTGACCGGAAGGAAACTGAAGAAATTATGACCGCCAATGAGCAGAGAGAGTGAGTGACCAGTCTTTTATTGATAAAATCAGGGGGGGCTATGAGGATGTCAAGGTTCAGAATGAAGAAGAACCAATGGTTTTATTTCCTTGTGACTAGCTGATTTAAATAGACTAGTTACAAGTATGGCCAAAATGTGGTTAGAACAGATAAGAATATGAAAGAAGAAAGAAACCAATTCAATATGATATGCATCAACAAGAGAGTTCACAGACAAGAAGATAAGTTTTAGCCAGAGACCTGATAAGCCCTTTTTCTTCAGGGTTCTTTGACTACAAGGAGAGTCAGACATGCATAATTAGACTAGAAAACAGACTATAATGAATGAGAAAATCAAGTGATGAGATCAATAATATAAGTGATTTTTGGTGTGAGTAAAAAATAGTATCAGAATTTCAACAGAAAACCTTCCAGCCAATGCCCTGCAGGCCATTTAAAGGGCGGGTATCCAAATATACCTGCTCGGATACCCGCTAAGGCGGGGGAATACCCACCAGCAGCTGCGGATGGCAGCTTCCCCAGAAAAAGCAGCTGGATATCCGCATCCGCGTGGATATCTGGATGCGCCAGGGCCATCTCTACCCACCAGCAATGTGTTGGGATTTGTGCCATATCCAAGGAATCATCCAAGTCATAGTTGTCTGTCCAGGTGGACCCAATGGCCGACCCCTTCAATACTGATGGATTTGTCAATGATCCAGACTCAAAAAGCAGTGACAACAAAGGACCAGAACTTGGCGATCCAAACATTATTGAGGCAATATTGAAGAAGGTCAGTTTTTTCATCTGGTTGGTTATATTCATCCCTGACCATGATCTATCCTAGTAATTTAGGTTTATTATGTGATACAACAAATCACTTCCTCATTGGCCAAGCAAGCTGAGTTCAACAAATAGGCCAAAGAAAACTCAAAAACACGGGGCCCACTCTGAATGCAGGGTACGGTATACGCTGGAATATCAAGTTTGACAGCCACAAGCGGGGGTATATCACACAGAATTTCATTAACAAACTGATTGAGAATGAGCAAGACAGACAAGATAACAAGGGAGGCAAGTTGAAGAACTGCTTCAATGAATAAAAAATCATTCCAAAGCCACTGGAAGATCATCAAGAAATTGAATGACATCATCAGTGTAAGCCGTTTCTCCTTCACTCCATGATTATTTTTATTTCAATATCCAATTTCCATGATATTAATTAAAAGTTTAACTATTAAACCAATCACCCCCCGTCCGCCCCCCTACCTAACCCCCAAATCTGCTCCCTTTTTTACATTCTCCCTTCCCCTTCCCCCACACTTTATTATTTATCAGATTTTCATCCAGATCAATGACTCAATGGTGATAATGCTGAACAAGATCCAACCAATTTCCCATATACCCCCACTCAACACCTCTCTTTTATATCCTACTGCAAATCCTCCATTTGGTCAGCTTTCCCTCAAACCCAATGTCCTGCATTTTCCGCTCTCCTACATTTCCACCACAGACTTGTGAGTATCCTTTTCCATTTCAATTGTTATTCCCTTCTCTAATTACCTTAAGCACCCTCCAGCCCCTCTACTCTTCTTTACCCAGAACCTGACTCTGGATTTGTGTTTTGAGGGATTAGAAAAGTTCACTCATAAAATTCAATTAACTGAATTGGTGTTTTGAGGAATTGGAAAAGCACTTCATGGATACTAGTGCTGATTATTTCAATGAATATCATGGGATATAGTGACAAGAAATAACTAAAATGCCTTCAGTTAAACTCCCTCTCTTAGTCTGAACTTTCTCACAAATTCTTGTCTGGTTGTCAGCACATATCACCAGGGTGGCCATAATTTCTATGACTCTCAGTAAATAGGTCTCATCAATGCTCTCTCAACAAATGCTTTGCTGGCATAGTGGTGAATTCAAGCCACTCCAAGAGCCCATTGCATCCCCAGGCTATCAACCCCAGAGTTCAAACCCTCTTGCAAGCAACCAACACTCTTGACTGGCACCCTCTTATTTTCCTAAATCCCTTGAAAAAAAATGCAACATCTTTCCACAATCATGTCAAGGGGTCTTATGGCCATCCTGCTCCTTGTACCAGCAGCCACTTGTCCTCCCACAGAACCCAGCTCAATGACATGTGGGAGGTGCAGTAAACTTGCCAAGGAGGCTGGAAAATCAGATCCAATGGTACCCCTCTTAATTCAACAAGCAGTAGATACCCATACTTGCAACGGCTTGCGGCCTGCCCGAGATGGGTGTAATAAGGAAATCCTGGTACAGATGTTCAGCTGCCCAAAATGTCAAATCCTGGCTTGGAAGAGTATAACTCGTTGCAAAAACCATGGCTATCCAGATTTATATTACACTGTCAAGTGGGTAGGCAATGATCCAGCTCCAGGTAGCACAAGCAATGCATAACTTCATGCATTTCTCCCCGGGGAATCATCTTTTTCACCTAACTTAACCAAGTCCCCCCTGGTGGGAGGCTTGCTGGTGGCAAAGCCACCCCTCCCACAGGGAGGGACTTATGAGCTATGCAAGGGTGCTTGCCTGAGGGAATCATCAAAAGCAGGTTCAATTTCAAGCGATTGTAGCTTGCAGGACAAGCAAGCTACATGTATAATTCTGAGGAGGGAAAGATGCACCTGCATCCTGGCTTGCCTTCCCTCAGCTCAGCTTCCAAAGATTTATCTTTGCTCAACAGAGCAAAGCAGAAAACAAGAAATACAAACTTACCATACTTGAGCCTGGGGGCCCAAGCGCAGCCTGAGATGGGTGTGGTCTTGAGTTGTCTTGACAGGCTTCAAAAATTTGCTAAAAAAACCCTTGTGGGTATCTAGCTGAGATTTTGGGCTCTAAAAATCCTGACAACAATGCTCTTTCCAAGTTTTGGTTGCTGGGGTTGACAGCATCAAAACTACAGCCTGGAAAAATCAAAGAGTGAATTTTCAGCCTGTTTTGGTTAGTGGGCTCAGGCAAGCACCCCCACAAAGTTTGTAAGTCCCTCCCTGCGGGAGGGGTGGCTTTGCCACCAGCCAAACTTAAGCACCACCCAAATCAGACCTCCCACACAGGGAGGACTTTGTTAAGTTAGCTTTTTCACAGGATCAGTTGCTTCTCTTTTGATTTGCTTGTGATTTAAGTTGACAGCAGCAACCCCATCTCTTGATCAAATATGCTACTCATCACTCTACTCAATTTGAATTTTGCTTGGATTATGAGGTAGTGCAAAAGATGTATTTGGACTACAGTAAACTTCCAACTTGAGCAACAATCTTTGGACAGAAGACTAGCCTGAGCTTGGTTGGTCAACTTGGCAGGGACCAGTGGCAGAATTGGCAACTCAATTCTCCAGCTCCAGCCAGTGTTGTCAGCGCCGGTCTCTAAAGTGACTTGGCATTGATGGGGTGGAAAGGGTCGTACTATAGATTTCTGTGAAAGCCAGTAGAAATGGAACCTCACCTTGACGCTAGTAAGCGGAGGGGTTAAGCACCCTTATTAAGGGGACGTACACGGTATGAGCAACGGTGCAACGAGTCCTATACGCGTATTGTATAGGCATATACAGCGTATTGCACTTCTTCAGAAGTACATGTATTTTGAAATACATGTATTGCATCTGCTAGTGAATACAATACAAATACATTGTATTCATTTTCTAGCCTATACAATACAAATACATTGTATTTACAAATACATTTTTGGTTGTATTCCCTTTAAAACCCCTTTTTTTCTCTTTTTTTTCTCTTTTTTTTCTCTTTTTTTTCTCTTTTTTTCTCTTTTTTTTCTCTTTTTTTCTCTTTTTTTCTCTTTTTTTTCTCTTTTTTTTCTCTTTTTTTTCTCTTTTTTTTCTCTTTTTTTTCTCTTTTTTGTTGATTTATTTCTCTTTTTTTCTCTTTTTTTTTCTCTTTTTTTTCTCTTTTTTGTTGATTTATTTTCCTTTTGATTTTTCTTTCTCATTTTTTGCACCAAATACATTGTATTCATGTTTCAGCAAATACAATACAACCTTTAAAAACCCATTTTTTTCAGAGATGTAATAAGATGACAGGATCTGGATACAATACAATTATTGCTTTTGTGAGTGTTAGAGGGGTGGGAGAAATGAAGCAAACAATAGAGAAACAAAATCTGAATGCAAAAAATACACAGAAATGCACAGAAAAGAGGTGAAAAGTGTATCATTTGCTGGCTGTAGCTGCCTCATGTCTGCTCTCATGGTGGTCAACTAAATCCTGACTGACAATCACCTGCGCTCTTTCAAAATCCCCATCGGCCTTGAATCCTTGTTTCAACCACTGGTGAGAGCTTACTGACTTTTCGATTGTTCTGGGTGCTAAACTCCCTCGATCCCGTCCACAAATGTCAGCAGCAGCCGAGAAGCATCGTTCCACGCTAGCTGAGGTTGCTGAGCAAGCAAGATAATCCTTGGCCAAGGAGGCTAATGTGGGAAATTCATTGTGATGTTCCTGAAGGGAAATACAAAAGAGAAATGAGCCTTTAACTGAAATACAATATTCAGATATCCCAAATAGGATACTTACTTTCCACCACACTAGACACTGGTCTGCATCAGCCGGAAGAACCTTATACTTACCGCCCAGGTAGTTGGCCAACTCGTCAGTATTTGCAGATTCCACGGCCCCAGGGAATAAATTTAAATCATCGATTGGCCGTCAATGGCTGGTTTTCTGGGGTTGGGATGGCTGCTGGGGAGTTGATTCTCTTGAGCTAACAGTAGCAGCAAGTTCTGCCTTGCGTTTGTCAAATTTCTGTTGAAGCAATATTTCGGCGTATTTGTGGTGAGAAGAGAAGTATGCTTGAAATATTGAAAGCCGATATGACGGGTTCAACATGGTTGTTAAGAGTATCGTGTTGCAGGCTAAAGCCTCCGCAAGGTAAGTTTCAGTCTTTTCAATCATCTTCTTCAGCATTGATCGGAATTCATTTTCAGTCACAGAGGCAAGGCGGTCCTTGAGGAAGTCTTTGATCGATTGATATTCCACTAGAAGCATACCGCACGAGGAATGGTCGCCTTCCATTTTTTTAGTTATGAAATAAAACTCCTGAAACATACAATACAATGATTATTTAACAAATTTCAAACATTCAGGAGACTAATGAAGAAAATGAAAATCTAAATCAAAAAACACTGACACTAAGTATATCATTTAGTCGCTTTACAATTTCCCAGTCACCTCGGGTGATCTCGCAATCCTGGTAAAAGCTTTTACCACCATCTCTTTCTTGCCGGTCTTTCTCGTTTTCAATGAGTTTGTTGATCACATTTCGACTCTGGTACGCCCGGTCTCGACTTTGCCACTTGATGTTCCATCGGATGCCATAGCCGGCAATAAGAGTCGGGCCAGGATCATCAAGCTTGGTGCGCCATAATTCAAACTCTGAGCGTTTAGAAGAAGAGGAGGTAATTCGCTGAATAACAAAATCAACCTTGTTGAGTATTCCAGCCATTGTTTCAGAATTTCCAGGAGACCCCGCCAATTCGTCCGTTTCATCTTCACAGTCCTCATCAGATTGATCTAAAACCGGTGCATCAAGGTCCTCATCACCTGAGAGAAAAGCTGCTCCTTGAGTGTTGTTGTTTTCCGGAATTGTATCAAGGAAGGGGACATGTCCAAGTGTCTTTTTCTTACACTTAGTCAGCCCAGCAGTGTTGGTTTGAGACCAGATGCCAAAATTAGTGCAATCTTATGACATACACATCGGATGTGGTTGGAGCTGAGGTCTGGGTTGATTCCGGTTTTCTTAGTGATTATGCGGTCCACCTCGGCAGTCATTGTACGGTTGTTTGAACCCGAGTCAGTTGTTTGAGCTAGGATGTAAAAAAAAATTAGAAATGTAGGTTAGATATGGATCAATCTGACAACAAAAAAACTGAAAACAAAAACAAAAATAAATACTTATCTTTGTGTGGAGTGAAGACTTTGTAATGACATTTGCAAACGGAACTGCAAGGTATTTACCCTTGTGCGTCCATGAAATGTACTTGAGACCCAGGTGAAATATCTGAAATGTACTTGAGACCCAGGTGAAATATCTCAAACGCGTGATGATTCCCTTTGGTGGTCCATACATCATGGATCAGAGTGATTTTGGATTTGAGTGACTGTGCAGAAAAAGAATGTGGAATTAAAAAAAATCAAATGGCAAGCAACAGAAGTTTAAAATGGAGAGTATGGAGCAACTGGCTTACCTTAAGGTTTGATATCACCTTCTCCTGCAGGTTGACATACAAACGTTGGGCTTCTTCCGCTGCCCATGTGCGTGAGTAAAGTTTGATTCCCTTTCGAGCATAGTTGAATGAAATCGCCAGAAGAGTGTAAGAGTTCAATCTCTTCACTGATCTTACGGCGACGGGCAAAGGATTCAAGGCTAAAAGCCGGACGTTCTAGAACCAAAGGCAATTTTTATTTCAACTAGACGGGAGAGCAGGAAACTCTCCTAATCAGTATCTACAATCATTGGAGAGAAAGGGAACCAAGTAGAAGATAAATGAAAAGGAAAAAAGGACATTACCTAGACGGGAGAGCAGGAAACTCTGCCGTCTAGATTGTGAGGGATGAAAGGGACTAAGTACCCTCACACGCTTATGTAATCTTAAGTGTTTACAGATCTTGTGAAACCCGCAATGAGAGGGGGTTTCACACAGAGTATCCTCAATTCTCATCCAAGGGAGAGCCGATCGCATGAGCCACATAACGAGGATTTGATTCAAAGTCCGGTTATCAAAGTTGCTGTCAGCAAGATTTTTCAATACACTAGCGTTCTTCTCTCGTTCGATTTTCTCTTTGATTGTCACCGGTAAGTTTGCTCCGTTTTTGATTGCTTCGTCTCGCGATTCACAAGGTTTCCTCGAAACGTCACCATCACGATGCTTGAACAGATTAGAGCGAGTGCGTGTGGATGCCTTATATGGTCGACGATTGCACCATTTGCACTGGTAGTATAACTTCTTGCCGTCGGTCTACAGAGGTGATTTTTGGGAAATCAGTAAGTTTGTTGACATGGAACAATGAACAATGAAATAATAAAATACATACATTTCCCTCCCCGTATTGTGGAGCCTCAAAATAAAGACCAATATCATCATAATCATTCTTATTAGGCCCTCGGGGTTTTTTTGTCTGTTTGGTCAATTTTGAGTTATCTTCATCAGAGTCTTGAGGCAGGTTGAGGAATTGAACGTCCTCATCCGATTCGGAGGTAGTTTCCCGGTTGTTTGTTGATTTTTTAGACTTCTTCTGAGATTTCTTAGGAGCTGCGGACTTGGTGGATGCAGTCGAGACCCGCTTGCGGGATTTTGTGATGGAAGTCGGCTGGCTTGAAACACTGGCCTCTCTGGTTGCTGGCTGGACTCGGAGCGACCGACGTGTGTCGGTATCTGTTCGAACATAGTTTGGATGTGATCTGAGAGGGGTAGACAGACGGGTAGATTGTCGTGAGGGGGGCCAAGAGGCCGAAGGGGGAGGTTGGGCCATCAGGGCCAAGAATCACTTGACGTCAAAGCCAAAGTGGAGTTGCAAGTGAGTGATTGCCGGCCGTTTGAGGCACAATGGATGAGCCTTTCCAAGTGTGACAACACAGGCAAGGGCAAGGTGTGGGTGTAAATTACAACTAAAAATAAGTAAGTACAATTTACAGTGTAAATTACAACTAAACAAGTACAATAAGAGTGCAAAGTCAGTTTCAGAGCCAATTACCTCAGCTTGATCTATCAAAGCAAGAAGAATATGTATAACAGCAATGAAAGACTGACTCTCAATTGGCAACCTTCAATTGTTGTGGGTTTTGTTTTGCTCCAAACAATGCCCCCAACACTATGATTGATCCAACTCAAGGGGGTCAGGTGCTGAGGGGACAAAGGCCGGTCAGCATGCTGGCCCCCATCAAAGGCATGAGGTTAGAAACCCACTCGGCAGCCAGTTGGCTGCCAAGTGGGATGGGGTGCTCACCTGCTCGGTGGGCCCAGGCTGCGTTGATCAACTGTTCAGGAGATCAACTATCGCGCTGCATTGATTGATCGCGCTGCGTTGATCGATTGCGCTGCGTCAACCTGAGTGTCTGGGTCTTGGGCTTCCGAAGGAAGATGGAGTGACTGGGTGGAGGGTTCTGCCGGTCGAGCCTGATAAGGGGAAGGAACCGAGAAAATTGAGCGTTTCTTCATGATGCTTTCCCCTGGAGGTCGAGGCCCGAATGAGACTTCCAATACCTGTACCGGGACAGCTCCGCGGTACTGATCCACAAACTTCTTCCTTGCTTCGATGGTGACCCTTCCATTTGGGCAATTGACCGCGTTGGTGTGATCGGGCGGGTTCGTTTGTTGGAGGCAACGAAAACAGACCCGTTGAGCCAAACAAACCGTCCGAAACAAACTTTCGAATCGCTGTTCAGGAGTCTTCTGTCCTCGAGCCGCAGAAACCGCGTTGTGGTAAGCCAAATCAAAACATCAATGCCTCAATGCGCCGTACAATCAGGACAGGAAGGCCCAAACACCTTGGTCCTCAAGATAGAAATCTCAAGGCACCCAGACCACACGTGGGGGGAAGAAAGTCACCCCTCAGACAGAGCCAGGGTATTAGGAACCCTCCTTGATTTCTCTTGTTTCATTCTTTCTCTTTCTGGAGCTGCTGCATATGCACTCCTCTTTCTCTTATCTTTCTGTTTCACACTAATGCACCCACTTGGGGATTAGTCTCTTACTTCTATGCATGCGCCTGCATGTGGCTATGCGCGTCTCAGACTTACGCACCCTTTTGGGAAAGCAGGCTATGTCATTGTGTCCTCTTTGGTCTTAGCAGCCACCTTCTGGGCCGTGGTGTTTCAGTTTGATATTTTTCACTTGATCCTTTTCTCAAACCACAAGCTGGCCACTCCCCAGATTTTGTATATAAGGAGCCATGTTTTCCCCTCATCATTTGTTCCATCATCAGTTCCCTGACGTGCTCAGCCTGGTCACTTAGTTAGTTATTGTCCTTAGTCATAGTCCTCAGGTAAAGTCCTCAGGTAAAGTACTTAGAAAATATTATCACACCTTGCTAGTCAGAAATTGTCCGCCACATCTTCAGAGAGTATTTGAACTCTCCTTGTCTACTACCTTATCACCTTTTACCGGAGGGCAGCCTTATTCACGGCGCATTTACCCTTCCACACTCTATCTGATCCCACCGGGTAGTTCCACAAGTGGTGTCCCAACAGTGGCCTGACGATCTCTAGATTAAACAGTCACGTTTTGGTTATCCATTACAATCTTAAGATACAAAACCCTTAAAAAAAAATCTTTTCCTTACATTACTATCATCACTATCTCTCGCCTTTTTTTCCGCACTTCAAACTCATAAAAGCACACACAAAAATTAGATTAGATTCACTTCATAGCTTCTAGAAATGTCTTACCGTAACCAGCCAGTTCCTATAAACCTCTACTCGTCCAATATTGGACAATTATCCAACAACTTACCTCTCAACCCCGGACCATTCCGCAACCAAAACAACGTCTCGGAAAATTCGTCTTCAGATGGCCCAACTGCGAACCCGGCGTTGTCAGAGCACTCTGCAGGATCTCGATTGCCCGGTCACGGTTTCCCGAGTCATGGCCAAGCAGGGAATATACTACCAAGTCCTCATTTTTTGGAAAGTCGTGTTGTGCTGCCGGCGTATAACCCGGAGCCATTTGGACGAAAACCAGTCAAGATTAAGTCCCAATCTAAAGGACTAATGTTCAACGGTACTAACATGGACATTAGCGATTTTATTAAGCGCCTGGAATACGCCGCACAGATAGATGGCGCCCTAGGATCCGACATTGCGCTTCAGATAATTTTCTTCCTCGAAGGCGAGACCTTGGTAAAAGAAGTCCAGGAAATGGCCGAAAAGGAGAACCACGACTGGGAAAAATTGAAAGAACGGATGGTGCTACGTTGGGGTAAGATGATGCCGCTCCTGAAACATACAAGGAACGATTTGGATCAGCTTCTAGCAACAACACGCGCATCCGGTATCAAGACTCAACGGGAGTTCCAAAATTTCCGTATCAAGATAGATAACTTGGTGGCTTACCTCGTCCGGTGCCAACACATGGGTAACGCAGAGGAAATTCGACACGCCGTATTAAACTGCCTGGTCCATCCAATTAAGGTTTCAGTCACAAAGGAACTTATCAGAGATAACCAAATGCGCTTATCGGTGGATGGATCCCACATTTTGCCGCCGTACCTAACTATTATGGAATATATCAGTCGTGAACTCAAGACCATCTCAATCTTAGAAGGAGAGGATCCCCCGGCAAAGCAACCGGCCGCCAATCAACCAGCGCCGCCACGAGCCCCAGCAAATACGCCACGAAAGGATCCAGCTGTCGAGGAGTTAACCAAGACCTTAGCAGGATGGAACGTCCAGAAAGGCCCCGTGATATCAGCCAGCCACGTACCCTACAGGCCGGCGCAATACGAGAGACCACCGTCGACCTTAAAATGCCATTATTGCTTCGGGGATAAACACACGGTGTATCGATGCAGTTTATTTGCCCAGGACGAATTCGACAAAAAGGTTTACCGCGAAGGAAAGGACCTCAAACTTCCTAATGGAACCATAGTACAGCCCGACAGGTCACGCGCCATAAAAGAAGTCGTGGATAAGAACTGCACGCCATCACAGACCCCGGGAATCATCAACCTTCCTCCGGGAACCGAAATTAAAAAGCAGGAACCGACATCAGAAATCCGCACTTCTTACGGTAAATTGGAAGAGTGCACCCCTGAAAAACTTAGCTCTTACGATGTTGACGCCGCCAAACGGTTGAGGAGCGGAAAAGAGGTCTCTGAGACTCCGGCCCCAAAGAAAACTCGAAAGGATAGCGAAGACTTAATGGATGTCGAGGAAGAAATTACCGAACTGGCACGACAAGACAACCACGACCTATTCCCAGGGTACAAAGAGCATCTGGAAAAAGCGGCGGCAGAGGTACCAAAGAAAGTTCAGTTCAAGAAACCAGAAGTCACCACACCGGAAGCAAAAGAAAAAGTGCCCAAGAAAACTTACTTGGAAAAGACCTTGTCTAAAGAGTTTCCCGAAGCCGAAGAACGAGTCGTCCAAAGAATGGTCTTGGAAGGCAAAATGGAACTCTCTTATGGTGAAATTTTTGCGATCTCCAATGGCGTCTCCGAGGCTTTCAAGAAGAAGATTTCACGACGAAAGGTCCCAATCGAGGGTGGCCCACCAGAAAAGGTAACTAACGCCGGAGGAGTGGACTCAGACGACGACGAAGAGGAAGAAACGGAGGCTCCACGCAGGTCCCATTACGCATGCCCGCTGGGCCACATAAAGGTAGGTATAAACGGTAAGGAAGTCCAACCGCTTCTGGACAACGGCTCCATGGTGAATGTACTCCCGAAGGATCTTGCGGTACGCCTGGGCCTCATCGTTACGGAAAAGAAAATGAACCTTAAAGGAATCGGTGGTCACAAGAACGAAATCCTTGGGATAGCCGAATCAGTACGCGTTAAAATTGGAAATATCTCTCGAAAAGTCCACTTCTGGGTATCCACCGGAGACGTGCAACCTATCTTAGGTAAACCCTTCCTAATCGACGTATCAGCAACTATGCGGTACGCAGGAGAAGGCGGGGAGAGTCTATCCATAAAAGACGACGAAGGACGAGTTTACTTGGTTCCTATTATTACTCCGGCTAATCAAGAATACGAGACAACCTTTCCTACGAACGTAACTACAACTTCAAACGTGGTAACAGCCTCCAGTGATGCATCGTCAGAAAATGTCTTCGAACAACAAATGCAACGTAGCGATGGAGTGTTAGTCTGCGCAGCTAAGTATAAATCCGCAGCAAAGAAAGTAAAACCGGTCAACGAACCTATGCCCCAAAATATCAATACCCCACTTAGTTTTCCAGTTCTATCTCGGGATCCTTACACTACTCCACTCACGCCTTATCCCCCAGAATTCGTGCCTACTGCTAAAATAACTGAGGAACGCCTTAAAGTCGTTAATTTCGGACCGACCAGGTGGCTTTCAGATGAAGAGTTAAATTTGCTCAAGCACGTCATCAAGCTTCGAGAAGGTGCCTTAGCCTTTGTAGAAGAAGAGAGGGGGTTACTGAAACATTCATACGGTAAACCTTACATCATCCCAGTAATTGCCCATGAGCCGTGGCAACAAAGACCAATTCCTATCGCCCAGGCCATCAGAGATCAATTCATTGAGTTGGTTAGAGAACGGATTCGGACCGGACTCTATGAGCAATCTTGTTCCAGCTATTCAAGTCCAGTGTTTTGCGTCAAGAAACAGGATGGAAAGCTCCGAGTGGTCCACGACCTTCAAAAATTAAATAAAGTCACAATTAAAGACACAGGATTGCCCCCCGCACCAGAGGATTTGATTGAATCATTCACCGGCCGAGCTTGTTACGGGCTTGGCGACATTATGGGCGGCTATGACGAACGTGAATTAGACGTCAGCTCTCGACCTTTAACAACCTTTGAAACCCCTTTAGGCCGCTTCCAACTTACCAGATTACCACAGGGAGCCACCAACTCAGTCGCGGTTTACCAATCCCAGATGATGTGGATTCTTCAAGAAGAAATACCGGAAAACGTGGGAATATTCATCGATGACAGCGGAATTAAAGGACCTGTCTCGGACTATAATCAAGAAAAGTTGCCCGAAAACTCCGGAATTCGCCGCTTTATTTGGGAATATGCCGTCATTCTGGAACGAGTCCTCTTTCGGATCGAAGAAGCCGGCTTAACCATCTCGGGAAAGAAGTTTGCTTGCTGTGTCCCAGCTCTGGAACTTGTAGGCCATGTAGTCTGTAAAGAGGGACGCAGGATTGCAAAGAAACAGCTTAACAAAGTGCTGACTTGGCCGACCCCAACCAATACCACGGAAGTTCAAGGTTTCCTGGGAGTTTGTGTCTACGTACGAATGTTTATCCAGGACTTCTCAAAACTGGCAGCCCCGTTGCGAAAACTCACACGAAAGGACGCAGAGTGGGAATGGACGGACGACTGTCAAGCCTCCTTCGACGCTCTGAAAAAGATCGTGGGGCAGGACATAACACTGAAGAAAATCGATTACTCCGACAAAGGAGGAAAAATTAAGCTTGCGGTAGATTCCAGTTACATTGCTGCAGGAGCCGTACTCACTCAAGAAGTGGATGGCCGGGACCGCCCGGTGCTTTACGAATCAGTGGTTTTTACGCCAGTGGAGTCACGATATTCTCAGTCCAAACTCGAACTTTGCGGGGTAGCCAAGGTTCTAAAAAAATTACAATCACAACTTTGGGGTCAACATTTCGAGCTATTAGTCGATGCTAAAAGCCTCATCGAGATGATTAATTCCCCATCCCTTCCGAATGCGCCAATGACCTGTTGGGTAGCTTTTATCCAACTGTTTTCTTTTTGATCTCAAACATGTTCCTGGAAAAACATTCACCATGCCAGATGGACTTTCCCGACGCCCGCCCAACGAGGACGAACCGACTGCTACCGAATTTGACGAAGACGAATCTTGGGTGAAACCACACGCAGGATTTGGCTTGAAAGAGGTCAATTCTTTGAATTTGGGGGTGGCCAACACGCAGTTTCTTCAGGAAGGAATTTGGGCCAAGCTCCAAGAATATTTGTTCACCTTAAATCGACCCGAGGACTGCACCAAAGAAGAATGGGCGACCATTTTGAAGAAATCAGCCACTTTTTTTATTTCAGATGGTAAATTAAAAAGGAGGAACACACCATTTCCTCCGCTTGTCATATCTTCCAAGAAAAATCAAGACTTTGTCCTGGAAACGCTCCACGAAGAATTAGGCCATCGAGGTGTGGAAGAAACTTATAGACTCTGCAAGTTACGATTTTGGTGGCCTAACATGAAGAAAAACATTGGCGCGTGGGTTCAATCTTGCGAGGCCTGTCAAAAGCGTAGTCTGGTCAAACCTCTCGAGCACAAACACGCCACTGGTAAGAATACTATCTTTGGACGAGTCAGCATGGACGCAGTTCATATTAAAGCCGGTAGCTGGAAATACCTTCTTGTGGCCCGGGATGATCTGTCCGGATGGGTAGAGGCAGTAGGACTTGAAAAACTCACGGCAGCAAAAGTTGCTTCTTGGTTCAAAGAAAACTGGATCTTACGTTATGGCGCCCCATGTGTAGTCGTCATGGATGGAGGCCCTGAATTCGGAAAAGAAGTCCAAGAGACCATAGCCCGCGGAGGATCCACAGTTAAGATAACCACCCCTTACTATCCAGAAGCCAACGGTATGGTAGAACGCGGTCACCAGCCACTTAAAGACGCACTAGTCAAGATGTGCGGATCGAATGGAAAGAAATGGCGAAGTTTTTTGCCTCTTGTTTTATTTGCAGATAGGGTTTCAACCAAGCGTACAACTGGCTACACACCCTACGAACTAGTATTTGGACAACCGGCAGTTCTACCTATTGATCTAGAAATGGAAACATTTTTAGGGACAGACTGGGAGGAAGTAACAAGTACGGCGGACCTCCTGTCAGCACGGGCTAATCAACTTGAAAGGCGGGAAGAAACTCTTCAAAAGGCTTACAAGAAATTGAAGGAGACACGCGAAAAATCCGTGGAAACCTGGAACAAACAAAAAGCGGACCGGGGACCCATTAGTCCTGGTGAGTTAGTACTGGTCTACAATAGATCCCTCGAAAGCCAATGGGGAAAACTCTTTGAAAATCGCTGGAACGGCCCTTACCGAGTGATATCTCAAGAAAAATCCGGCTCTTACGTCCTCGAAGAACTAGATGGGACCCCATTAAAAAGACGGTATGCAGCACCGCAGGTGAAAATATTTCATCAGCGATGCTGAAAGTATCCCTCCTTGAATAAACACACTGTACATTATAATGCTCTCCAACTGCTGTCTGTCATTACTTCATAACTAAAAATTACAAAAAAAAAAAAAAAAAAAAAAAAAAAAAAAAAAGAAGTCAGGGTGGTTAGCCCAAGAATTTAAAAATTTTCTATTCATTTCAGTACATTTCTGCTCACCCTTTATACGTGGATCAACTCAACACGGGAAGCATTATTCAAGATATCATCCAGCTCCTCTAAAACAGAATCCATAAGTTCATTGACCGTCCAATACGGCTCTACTGGTCCGGCAGCGGCGCGTGCACGGCGGGATCGACCTCTTAAAACTCGTTGGGAGTTGTGTCTAATATGATTATTGAACCATCGGTTGATGCGCTCTCAAGCACGAAGGACGTCTTCCTCGTCAACAACCGTCGCTTGAAAAGGAACAATCTCGACTGGATCGAACCTGGGGCTGTTTAGTCGCCCATAGTCATTCACTTCTTCATTATTTCTTGGCTGGTTAGCCGCATCTTCATCCTCTATTTCGATCGGGTTCTCAGGAGAACCAAGAGGCAGCGCCGCAAGGCGATAAACAGGCGGTGATGCCCCCGGCGCAAAAGCAACGGCGTTAGGACCGGTTGAAATAACGGCTTCGTTGTTATCGCTATTACCTTTGCCATCGTTGGCGATCTTTTCCTCATCGTCAGAAGCAATTGAGCTATCGCCAGAGGCAAGGGAATCTCCATCATTTGAACGAGGAGCGGGTGCAGTGGACAAAGGGGTACCGGCTGCGTCGTCGGGAAAAGCGCGACCAGAAAAAGTAGCGCCAGGAATCCATTCAGTGCTGAACGACATGTCTGTATGTATAACCGTACGAAAAATAAACGGTGATGGCTTGATAGAAGTCGGAATGAGGAGGAGGATACTTGGCTACGGACAGCCTCCCTCCCCCTCCTTTTATGCCCTCAGCAGGGTAGCTACAGTACCACATCGCTCGCCGCACCCTTTCCGTCTCTTTTTCTCTTCCTTCCTTTTTTTCTTTTTTTCTTCTTCTCTTTCCTGTTTCTTGGGCTTTTAGGTATCAAGCCCCATTCGGGGCTCGATAAAACAAACGGATGCTCAAAACAGAGCGAAACGACTCCTTTCGTCAGGACGTCGCAAGCGGACACGGCTACAAAAGCCGCCGTCCGAGGCAAGAACAAGCAGTGAAGACATGTGAGACGACTCGGTCCCGTTTGAAACAAGGAAGACCGGTCTTATCTGGGATATCATTCGGGCTTCGTATTATGAAGTCAGGTCTTCATCTCCGACCGCGCCGTACACGGGAGCAATCGGGCCGTTCCCCAACAGGCTTGATCCTTGATCGTTCCCTTTCTGTTTAGTCCTGTCATTCGCCCCTCCAAACAAAGCCGAATCGAGTCGAGTTTGTAACTCGAAGTTGCTAAGGTCCGACTTGACACTACAACAACCATCCCTCACCCTTTTCGTCTAGCCACCCCTGCCGATTCATTATGGTAGCCTTCTTCGCCCGGATCAGTGCTTTTTTCCTTGATTTCATTTCTAACCAGAGAGAAGTAACGACGAGTGTCTCGCTCGTTGTACTCAGCCCAGCTCCCTCCTCTTATCAATTTCGACGTGTACCCACACTCTTGGCTCAGAAAATCCGGAAGCGACTCAGTCTTCGGTAAGGCTAGAACCCCAACACGACTTAGGCTCTCCAGCTACAGTACCCAGGACTCAATGCAGCTCATCGACCGCATCATGCCTGCCGACCAACAGACTACCAAGATCAACATTGCCAACCTGGCTGAAGGAACCAGTCTGGCCGATGTGATGACTTCCTTCAGCCAGTTTGGAAAAATAATGCGCTGCTCCCTAAAACAACACTACGATGGCCAGGATACATCAGTCTCGGCCACCATTGAATTTTTGTCCTATACGTCCGCAGTCAGCGCAGTCGAGGAATTGGACGGCGCTACCGCCGACGGTCTTTGCCTCCACGTTAAATTAGTTAGAGTAGTTAGACCCCCTGTACACATAGCTACCAAGGAGGACTCTACCAAGCAAGAAGTACAAGATGAAAGCCCCCTCTTACATCGAATTTCTAAGCGTCCCCGAGCCTAAGACTAGCCCCTGGCACCCGCCATAGTCACTTTTTTTTCTTTTCTTCCACTTCTTCTTTTCACTTCATTTTTGTTACATACTTCAAGTCTCCCGGTAAAATGAAAAATCACATAAAAAATTATCTGAATAAATTTTATCAAATCAAAAATAAATCAATAGAAGAAAGAAAGCTCCGCCAGTCTCTCAAGAAGTCCAGATGATGGGGACATCATCCAATTTGGGGGTGGATGTGGTAAGCCAAATCAAAACATCAATGCCTCAATGCGCCGTACAATCAGGACAGGAAGGCCCAAACACCTTGGTCCTCAAGATAGAAATCTCAAGGCACCCAGACCACACGTGGGGGGAAGAAAGTCACCCCTCAGACAGAGCCAGGGTATTAGGAACCCTCCTTGATTTCTCTTGTTTCATTCTTTCTCTTTCTGGAGCTGCTGCATATGCACTCCTCTTTCTCTTATCTTTCTGTTTCACACTAATGCACCCACTTGGGGATTAGTCTCTTACTTCTATGCATGCGCCTGCATGTGGCTATGCGCGTCTCAGACTTACGCACCCTTTTGGGAAAGCAGGCTATGTCATTGTGTCCTCTTTGGTCTTAGCAGCCACCTTCTGGGCCGTGGTGTTTCAGTTTGATATTTTTCACTTGATCCTTTTCTCAAACCACAAGCTGGCCACTCCCCAGATTTTGTATATAAGGAGCCATGTTTTCCCCTCATCATTTGTTCCCTCATCAGTTCCCTGACGTGCTCAGCCTGGTCACTTAGTTAGTTATTGTCCATAGTCATAGTCCTCAGGTAAAGTCCTCAGGTAAAGTACTTAGAAAATATTATCACACCTTGCTAGTCAGAAATTGTCCGCCACATCTTCAGAGAGTATTTGAACTCTCCTTGTCCGCTACCTTATCACCTTTTACCGGAGGGCAGCCTTATTCACGGCGCATTTACCCTTCCACACTCTATCTGATCCCACCGGGTAGTTCCACAGCGTCAATATCCATGGCATCAGGAGCCCGAACTGCCGAATTGGGATGTTGATAGACTGAAGGGGAAACAAACGGTGGAGGTCGAGGAGCCGGAGTTGAGGAAACACTTGTCGAAGAATGCTTATTTGGGATTTTGGATAGCGCGGCCAGCTGTTGAGAAGCATCCAGCGCCCGAGCCATCTTCCCCGCCAAAGTGGGTTCCGCGAGCCGATCTGTAGACATGGCTTGACTGATGATGTCGAAGTTCAAACCTTCTACATATTTATCAATTTGCGCGTCTTCTGAATTGACCACCTGATAGCAGAGAGTCGAATATTGAGCGTTGTATTCTTCTACCGACATTTTTCCTTGCTTGCATGCCGCCAAAGCCTTCTTTGCGGAATCCAATTGGAACTTATCGCCAAAGGTATTGATCAGTCCCTTCTCAAATTCCGTAACCAATTGCAGCATGGGGTGAATGAAAGGAAGTCGATCCAGATCCGCATAAGGATTGTTTTCTCCTTGAGCTCGGGCATTAGATAAGATCAAGGCATTGTACCAATTTTCCACTGAACAAGGACCGTTCTTTGGTTCCAAAGGCCGGAAACCAAAATGTCTCGAGATCCAGACGATCATTCTTGATTGCGACGAAAAAAACACATGACGAGGGTACAGAAAATCCCTAATTGAACGGAGAAAAGGCGCCAATAATTTTGTTTCCCCCAAAAACCAGACCTCAGGCAACTTTGGTGGTTCCAAATAAACCGGATTTGCCTCTCCTGCCGGATTTTCGTGTGATGGAAATGGGCGTGGGACCATTTGATTTGCTTGTGAGGCCTCCGCTTGCTGAGAGTGCTGAGTTTGAGGAGGAGCCGTGAACCCCACAAAGGCAAACTGGGATCGATTAGGATTTTCCGCCGAAGCCACAGTCGAAACCGGATCAAAATTCAAGGGTTGTCGAGCTGGTTGAGGGGCTGGCTCGGTTGCCTTGATTATACCAATCAGGGTTTCCAAACTGGTGGCCATCCTGCTCAGGGTTGTTAAGAATAAAGATGCTTGATGTGCGAGTTGTTGTTGGATTTTCAAATGTCGTTGATCGATTTTTTGATGAAATAATTTTGCTCAAAGGAGGGTCTGATTTCCCGGTCGATGAACTGAAGGTCGAGAAGAAGAAGCCACTCGGGACCAAGCTAGCGATGCGGGCGGAGACAAATGAGGAGGTACTTGTCGTAGAGGTGAGGTTGTTGTTGACGCGGGATGAGAGACTGAGCGATCTTGACGTGAGAATGAATTGTTTGGAGAGTACCACTGGGTACTTTGCGACGTATTTGGGGTGGAAGGACCTGAAACGTCAGAGTCCCCCTCGAGTAGCTTGGGTAAGGAGTAGGACGGAATATTGATTTATGTGTGAGAGACTTATAATGTAAAGAATATGGCAACTGTGCCGGGAGACTTTGTACTTTCTGACTTTGTACTTTCTGACTTTTGACTGGTAACTTGGACTTTTCGGCTAAAACTTTTAAACTTTTATAACTTTGCGAGTTTTTTGCTATGAGAAATATAAATAACAAAATAAGTCTCTTGAGGAGACATAAAAAGGTAAAAAATACAACCGGTATTTATAGAAAAGATAAAAGATAGAAGTTTTAACGAGTGTTCTTTTCGTTCGGTAACTAGAGAGAGTATTTTACTGGGATACTATTCAGTAACCTATCTTTTGATCCGCTTTAGAATATTGATCCTTAACAATCATATATTCTAGATTTTACGAGTTCATTGGACATAGAAATAGAAAATATAAGACGTAGAAATAGAAAATATAAATTTTATAGAATTTTGATTTTTGTTTCACAGAGTTTCTGGGTCCATGTTTGACACATCAATCCAAGTTCCCGTTCCTGGCCAACCAAAGACCCTCCGCCGGCTCGCCCTCCTCCAGCTCCACCCTCAACCCTTCCTCCGCTATCTCTATTGCCAACTCGCCCCCCGATACAAACTCCCCCAGATTCACCGCTAACAGCCCGCCCTCTAGTCATGACCCCTCTAACGATATCTTCTCCATGGATTGGTTCAACTCTCTCTCCTCGTCCTCCTAGCCGTCCCCCCCTCCTTCTCTGATCTCCTATCAACTCGGTAAATGTGTGCTTATTGACCTCGCTGGCTCTGAAAATAATAAGAAAACTATCTTAGCATTCCTCTCGATACAACTGGGAACCAGAAGAACCAGATATACCCTCAAATGTGTTCTGATAGATGGAGAGAACATCAAAAACGCCATCCGGTTTTGAAGAGCGCCATCAAGCGCAAGCAGAATTGCAAGATTGTTGAAGACGACCGTTGATTTCGACAGACTCGTCAATATGTTTAGGGGTGAGAATAGGTAGCTACTGACAATAGGATTAATTGCCAATCGTCAATTTGATAAGTTGGACTGAGCATCCACCAATCCTCATTTAACTTCATTGACTTGACAGGCCCCATGAGTCTCGGCCATTTTGATCGGAACAGACGGAGCAAGATCCACGCAGAATAGCAGTTGACCCGATGCGACGAGGATTGGCAAATGGACGAACGAGAAGAGGTGACGCAATAGAGGAGATTGATGGTGTCTTGGAAGATGAAGACGGTTGCACACCTCAAAGCAACAATGCTAGCAGATCTTGGACCGCTGGAGGATTTCAGACCGCTAGAGGATCCCGGACTACTAGAAGAGCTCAGACCGATTCAAACAGGACTCGTATGAAGAAAGCCAAAAAGTCACCAGCTCAACAACACTACTCCAAAAATGCAACCAGAAGAAAGCAATGAATAATCAATGACACTCATGATGAGGACGAGGAAAGTCCAGTGCAAACAACCCAGCAAGCAAAGAAGAAGCAGCGGGTTCTGCCTCCTGAGGATAATCAAGAAGATTCATCCATGGGGGGATCACATCATGAAGAATTGTACTCTGATGGTGACAATTCTTCAAACGGCATTCAATTACCAGACTTCTGAGACAAGAATATAGTTTTTCTGCTTGATTTTCGTTATCATTGTTGCTTTTTTTATATTACTTTTTTCTGTTCTCATGTCTTCCTTTGTTCTTATATCTTTGGATATTGCTCAGATGTTTTTATTCTTCTTCTATTTTTTGATTTCTAAGTAAATTTCAATTTTACCTATTATGACATATGCATATGAGTTTGAGTGAAAAAAAGAAAAAAAAATCAAAGCAAAAAAGAACATCAAATTCAAGCTACAAAAAATGATATCTTGTGTGTCAAATGGATGAGAAGTGAACCAGTGTGGAGGAGTATGAGGAGTCAAGTTGTGCCGAGCAGGGGGAACTCAGGTCTTTGGGCTCCTGGGTAATGTGATAAAGATATCAAGGTCACGTCGGCGCTGCTTGGGTGATCAGAGGGGTTGATCCAACTGGACCCCATCTTTTCACTGTTGCCCCACACGGTTCAACAGACAAGCTGCCATACGTGACCATGGGATCAGGTTCGCTCGCGGCAATGGCGGTGTTTGAAACAAAATGGAAGCCAAAAATGGCTTGTCAAGAGACTATTGATCTTATTGTTCAAGCCATCTATGCTTGAATTTTCATTGATCTTGGTTCAGGAAGTAATTGTGACAACTGCGTCATCGAGGCCAGCAGTACTGAAATGCTGAGAAACTATGGCGCCAAACAAGAGAGTCGCGAAGGAACTCAACTACACTATGCGTCGAGGTACCACCGCCTGGATTGTAAGCCATCCAACGGTTCTCATCAACTCTTACATCCGTGTTTACTGAAGCGCGCGCAATATTTTCCTCCTGTATTTCATAGAAACAAGACGTCAAAAAGTTAATTGTTTCCAAATTGGTTACTCGTATCGGTGGCGGGGTGGTTGAAGGCGGACCAGGCACGGGTGTTTGGGGCTTTTTTTCCATGAGGACTGTCTGTGATTGTGAATTCAACCTAGAGAATCTGTGCGACAAAGTATGCCTTAGCCTTCAAAGTCTTGAAAGACATGCCAGACTTCTCATCAACGGAGAATGGTTGTCAGGGTGGATTGATTGTAAGTTAATGTAGTATGATCTGTTGTTTCATGGTTTGAGTTGTCACTGCTGCTGACGTAGCATGCGGATTCAGTTTGAATTGAAACATCTGGGTGACGCTGCGGCCCGCAGCGACAGCTAATTGACCGTAGTGTGTGCTTGTTGGTTAAGTACAGGTTGTAGACACATGGGCTACAGCCTCAGTGTCTGACAAGTGTGTTGATAAATTCTGGTAAAAGTGAAGGACACTAGTTGGATTCTGATGTTCTTAAGACCATGATGGGATATATGCAGTGACAGGGAAACCCACTTAGAGGTCTTGCCAGCAGACTGGATCACTTTCTGGTGTGGGATGAGAGCTCTACATAGTACATCTGACTTGTAACAGATATTGATTTTGAATTAGGGGGATCAACATTGAGGCATAACTATGGGAGCAAAAGATAACATCACTGAGGCCATCCAAACAGGACCTTAAAGACTAAACCTCAATTGGTGGCCAGAAGTAACAACCTAGACCAAATGTAGTCTTCAGCTCTTAGGGATGTTAATGATTCACTTACTTATCTGCACACCAAAAACCCACTTTGGATGTCAAGATAGATAAGATGAGCATGCACTAGACCATCATCAATGATTACAGAACCGCAGAGAAACCAACAACAACAACAACAGACACCTGTGCAAAATCAGCTACGTTTGTCTAAGACTTGTTTTCCCGCCATATTTCTACCTTTTTTTTGTTACATGTGATTGTTGGATGACAAGTGAGTCAAGGGGGAGAAGAAGAAGTGGATCACAAGTCGATGACCAAGTGATCTTTCAAGAACCGAACTTTCGCATGAGGATCGACGATGACGGTTTGAGTATCTAAACTCCCCCATCGAATCAAGAAGAAAGACCGTCGCGTCAGAAACCATCCTGGACAACCCAACACACACACAAGTCTACAAGCTCGAGCAAGAGAGACGAAAGGAAAAGGGAAAAAGGAACTCAAAACGGTCCAGTAACACGGCCGGGCCGACCAGATAATCGCCCACTCCGAACCAATCTAGAGCTAAGATGGAAGTCTCAACTCGGCCTAAATCTTCGAAAAAGATCGACTGATATCTTCGTCGATCGGGCTCATTATCTTTCTCGGAGTCTATACGGTTGATGTCGAAAGGCCTGAACTCGATCTTCGATAGTTGACCATCCACCGATTCCCCTGGCTCTTCTCTACGAAAGGTGTTTATAAGCCCAACCAAATCCAGTCAAACTCAAGATTCTTTCTAGATGAGGAATGGGACGATATACAAAGAAGAAAAAGAAGGGTTTAAGAAGAAGAAAAAAGAAAAAAAAACGGACGTAGATTTGCCGATCCCACGCACTCGAACATCATCACAAATCACCGGAATAGAGCGATCTAAAAGGAAGCCGAATTCCTTGAGATAAGCTTCCCGAAAGCCTTCCAAATAATCATATCCCTTTCCAGCTTCCCCATCGTGATTTTTTAGAGATTCTTTAGTATGAACGGAACGAGAAGAAGAAGAAGGTCTTGTGGATTGGTCGAGGACCATTAACGCTGTATCCGTTCCATCATACCTAAGAAAAAAATTAAAATCGAGAAAAATGACGATGAGAATTATTTCAATTTTGTGGAGGAAGGTAATGATGAAGATGGACCTCATATTCAAGTAACGTTCGACGACGATCCGACTCTCCTCGAACCCCTGATTGGTGAGAGTCAGACAGACCTTTTCCTGCAAAGCATCGAGAGATTTCTCAAGCCCAAGTCTACTATGACCGGCTGAATGATAGATTGTAGCGGAGGGAAGTTGGGCCTCGACGACGCGATCGGCGAGGGCCATTCCATAGGCGCTCAGGATCGACGCATGGCGATGGATGACGATCCGAGTGATCCCGAGTGTCCGGGCTAACGAACATGCATGCTGCCCGCCCGCGCCCCCAAACACACTCAGGATGTGCTTCGAACTCGCATATCCTCGCGCTTCTGTTAAGGCTCGAATCGGCCGACACATGGTCTCGTTGGCAATCTTAATAAACCTACACCGTACAAATCCGATGTGGGTTTAGTTGCACCATTTAGAGAGACCTGGGTGGGAAATCCTAGAGACAAAAACCGACCCCCAAGCAACCTGATCAAGACTCAGTTCCTGGTTCAAGTCGCGATTGATAGTGGTCCTCAATTCTTCGAAGAGGGAGCGGGAGGCCTCGACATCCAACTCCTGATCCTCGTTGGGCCCGAAGATCTTGGGGAAGTATTCCGGGATCAATCTGCCGAGGAGGAGGTTAGCATCGGTGACGGCCAAGGGGCCTCCCTTGCGATAACAGGCCGGTCCGGGCGAAGCACCTGCGCTCTCGGGCCCGGTGACGAATAGTCCGTTCCTCCAGAACAGACGCGAGCCTCCACCAGCAGCAACAGTATCTAAGAAAAGATCGAGGGTTGACTCTCCTTTTTTTAGCAAGAGACTTTCATCAAAAGAGAAAAAGGGGGGATAAGGACTGACTGATATCCAACTGAGGACTTTGAATGGTGACGCCGGCGGTAGTAGATTCGAAGACGGTTTCATAACGGCCGTCGAACCTGCTGACATCGGTGCTAGTCCCGCCCATATCGAGGCCGATGAGGGGGACCTTGTTGAGGGGGTCGAAGGTGGTGCGAGCGTATCCGACGACGCCGCCGGCGGGGCCAGAGAGGATCGAATGGAGCCCCGAGAACCGCTCGACATCCGTCAATCCGCCGTCCGAGCGCATGAACTCCACCCGTGTCCGTCGTCGCCCATTCGGCTCGGCTTCCTGCTTCATTAAACTCTCGTCGAAGCCCGCAAAGAACCCATCGATGTATTGCCGTAAGACGGGCGTTAGATACGCATCCGCCGTCGAGGAGGTCCCCCGGGTCACCAGCTTGATCATCGGCATCAACTCCGATGATAGCGAGATATGCGCAAACCCAAGCTCCTTGGCTAGTCTGCCGATCTGTTGCTCGTGGTCTGTGGGTGGTATTCTGTCTCAGGCGACTTGTGTTTTGATCTTGACTAGGAAGGAATGGTGTGGCAAAATACCTGGATAGGTGTATGAGTGCATCAAGACCACTGCGAGGGATTCAAATCCTTGTTCCTTAAGTTCGACGAGTTGTTGACGGACGAGCTGTTCATCTTTTTTCGAAGAAGCAAGAAGTGTGAGAAGTGACTACATATTCCAGGAATTGAGATGGATGATGATGTGTGTATTATGTACCGAGAGGTTTGATGATCTGGACGGCTTCTCCGCTATTCCCACGGACGACCTCTCCAGCAGAGTGAGGGAGCTGGTCATAAGTCCTAGTCACTCTACCCTCCTGGTCGAAGAGCACCTGACGGTCATGATGTTTTGGGTCGGAGGTGAAGCCGAGCAGAGTGACCCGTTCGTCCACCTCGACCACGCCCGAGTACAGCGTACTGGGCTTCTGGATGGCCAGATCGAAGATCCTTGGTCGCGATTGGTTCCCGATCTCCAGTAGATCCTTGAAGCCTTTCGTAATCAATAGGGCATGCTTGGCTCCTCTTCGTTCCAATAAGGCATTCGTTGCCACCGTCGTCGACAGTCTGATGTAGTCTGTTTGGTGACCCGTCCCCAAGAAATCAATTTTGTTATCTTTCTGGACTTGAGATTATGCACATAAGAACTGACCAATCTTATCGGTATTGAGTTTCTGGTCTCTTGGGATGGGTTGTTTGAGGACATGTTCGAGAACTCTCCTGATTCCTTCTCTTGGAGCGTCCTGGTATCCCGAGTCTTGCGAGAGTAGTTTGGTCACCCATTCCAGTCTCTTGTTGTTGTTCTTGTTGTTGTTGTTCGTTGTTGTTGTTGTTGGCCATGATGCATGGACATCGGTGAATGTTCCCCCTCGGTCGATGGAGATCTGGATTGAGTGGTCAGCAATAAGTTCTTCCATCCCTTTCTCTTTCTTTGTCCTTGGTGGTCAAGAAGCCAAAGTCAGAGGGACATGCCACTCAGACTACCACCACTACTACTACCACTACTACTACTGCGACCCCCTCGACTGCAACACAGCCTCATCATCAGAAGACCAACTCGACACTACTTCACCACTATGACCACCTCCATCGACATCCAAGCAACTCAAGACACACTGTGAGTTTTTTTACTCTTTCAGGGATACAAGAAAGGGAGCTAACAAGAGCGAAACACTAAAACAGGAAAGTGTTACAGACGATTGGCCTCGACCTAAGCTGGGACGAAAGCCACCAGATCGCCCATCCGACGGGCTCCCAAGCCGCTCTCATCAAGAAGGAGGGAGCTGAAGCTGAAGAGAAGAGTCTGAGCTACCTGAGCCGGCTGGCCAGTCTGGCCCAGACCGTCTCGGCCCGCCATCTGGTCAGCAGTCTGCTCGCCGGCCCCGACAACGAAGCCGACGACTCCCTCGACATCCCGCTCTTCCTAGGCCACCCTAGCACGTCCCTGAATGGCAGCAATAAGACCGAGACGCTCGACTGGGTGTTGGGCCAACTCGGGCTCGGCCACCTCGACCATGCCCAACTCACCGTACGTCCATCCTTCCCCGTCCCCTATACCTGCTCATATAACCCTGACTGATAGGAGTGTGGAAACAGATCAGAGAACCCTTTGATGATGGCCAAAGAATTACTCCCCAATCGTCCCTCGACCAACCGCCCTGGGTGCTCAATCGATTGTCCGAGAGCCAAGCGATCCAGACATCCACAGCCGACCCCGACCGGACCGCGCTCGAACAACTCCTCGCCCGTCTCCGACCTAGACTCTCGCTCGAGATCGAGGTCTCGGATAGCTGCGCCAATCGGCCCGTCTGTCTGCTCGTCGGGCCGATCCCCGATTCGCTTTCTCACTCTTGGGGCGGACTCATCAGCTATCGTGTATCCACTTAAAATTAAATCTTAATTTTATCTCTCATCTTGTTTCCCTTGATCAAGATACCCTCTAGTCTCATCTGACCTACCCACCCCACCCACCCCCAAAAATATAACCATATCATGTGGTATTGTATTCCTGTATGTATACGGTAAATTTCGCATCTTGGCTCCTATTTATCTACATGTTGCCAATCAAGAGAGGTAACAGCTGTGTTATCCATACAACCCAAATGTCTTATAATCTATGGTCTCACTCTCAGTTGTGTTTCAACAAAAAAGATTAATTGGATTGATCCATCTTCTATTGCTGTGCTCGCCCAAGAAACACGCATAACAGCCCCCCCCCCCCTCTCTCTGTTGAAAAATCAAAAGCTTATCAAAGAAAGTATTACATGTCCAAAAGGAATGAATTTTCAGTTTTCTTTACTTGTAACTTTTCATTGGGTTGGTAGGTTGTCAAAAAAGGGAAAAAAATACAAAAGAAAACAAAAGGGAGAGGAGGAAGGATAAGAGGTACATTAAAGTGAAGATTTAGGTGGGCGTCAACAAAGAGAAAGAGGTCTAGAAAAGAGCTCAGAACAAGATGATGATAAAGTCTACAATTTGAGTGAAAGTTACGAAACATCGATCAGAAGAAAAAGAAAGGGGAGGGAAGGGGGGGGGGGATGATTTCTGAGAGAGCGATCTAAGTGAAAGAGATGGAGAAGATTAAGAGGAGTAACCAGAATGAACGAGATCGAAGAAGAATTTAGCGGTATCTTCGAGGCCAGCTTTAGCGGACCATTTAGGAGTCCAATCGAGGAACAGTTTAGCCTTTGAAGAGTCGGGTCTACGTCTGGGGGGATCATCAGGAAGCGGGTCTTTATGCACGATAACGGAAGACTTGGAAGGCTCCTCCGAAGCCTTCGAATGATGATGGGGATGGTGAGATTTGAGGTTGTTGACGATATCGATGATCAGTCTAGCCCATTCGATGACCGGCTGTTCGTCCTCGGAGCCCAGGTTGACGGGGCCTTCATGCACCTCGGCATGGTTTTCCGAGTTCATCAACTTGATCAAGCCGTCGACCAAGTCGAATACATACATCAACGACCGCGTCTGTTGGCCGTCCCCATACACTTCCAACGGCTCTCCCCGGATTGCCGCCATGATGAAATTTGAAACCAGCCGCCCATCGCTCGGACTCATCCGGGGACCATAGGTGTTGAAGATTCGCGCCACTCGTACTTCTACTCCGTTCTCTCGCGCATAGCCGTAGGTCAACGCTTCTGCTACTCGTTTGCCTGCACCCATCATATAACATCCATTCTTTACTTTCATCAGTACATGTGTCTCATCATCAAAATTACATATGAACCTTGCTCACCTTCGTCATAACAAGCCCTAGGCCCGATCGGATTTACGTTTCCCCAATACGTCTCTATAAATATGACACATACACCCAAAAAAAAAAATTCATCTTTTTGTTTTTAGTGTGGATGGAAAGAAAAGATGTACCTTTTTGCGGATGTTGTTCTGGTGATCCATAGACTTCAGATGTGCTTGAAAGCAAGAATCTGGCTTTGGTACGTTTCGCCAACCCTAACATATTCATCGTCTATACCAACAAAACCAAAAGAACATTAGGAGAATGAAGCAAACAAAAATACCTCGCGATAAAATAAGAAGAGAAGGAAAGACGGACTCCAAGAAAATTAGTCTTCATAGTCTTAATCGAGCTAACCAGAAAAAGCAAGGATCAGTGGTTCATTTTTCCTGCAAGAAAAAAAAAATGATGATGATTTTTTCTGAGTGGGGATGGTTGATGAAAGTATTGAGTACTTGTATTGGTAGGCTACGGGACTTGCTGGACACGCCAGATGGTAGATCTGGTCGCATTCGATCATGAATGGATCGACAACGTCGTGTCGTATTAATTCGAAATTCGGATGGCCACTACATACATCCAGCCCGCCGCAAAAAAATCAGTGTTGTTATTCTCAGTATTTTTGGCCGTTGTTTTAATATATAAGAGGGAGATGTGTTTGTGGCGAGGGGGGAGGGGGAGAGAGAAGGGACTTACATCCAATGCGCTACCGCCGTCTTTGAACCACTGAAGAAATTATCCAGGACTGTGACATCATGTCTTTTTTACATACACACACAAATTAACCAAAAGGGAGGGATAGATTAATCATGAGACTACTTTTTTGAGAAGTTTGTGAATTGATTTTATTAAGAGCGAACCCCATGAACATCAATCGATCGACCTAAAGCAGGGGGGAAAGAAGGTAAGGATCAATAGGGTGTATAACCAGAATAAAAAAGAGAATAAATTTTAATTACGAGATGAGAGCCAACGAATCCAGCGCCACCGGTGACGAGGATGCGTTTACGATGGTGACCAGGGAGATGCCTGATGGGAGGGAAGACCTGGACGGGGGCATACGCGATGGTCGGGACGTCCCATCTGGCGGCGACATCTCTTTGGATCTGTTCGGGCGAGGAAGGGGACGAGGAAGCTTTGGAAGGTTGTCTGGAGGGTGTGGAGAGATGAGAGGTGGATGGATGCGGGTTGTTTCCGGCGGTTTGTTGGGAGATCGAGCTCGAGAGAATCACGCTTCTGAGCAGTTCCACGGGTACATCGGTCCCGTCTGTTGGATCTCCAACGGTCTCTAATGGGCCCAATCCTCTCTTCCTGTGCTTCTGATCTGCTTCTTCTTCTTCTTCTTCTTGTTCTTCTGGTAGTAATGATCTTGCTAGTGTTGATGCTGGTGGTTCGTACTGTAGACTCTGGTTTCGTTTGTGATGGTGAGTGTTGTAGCTGTTCGGTCGTGGTGAGAGAGCATCGATGGAGGGTGAGTTCCTGAATGGGGTGGTCGGAATGGGTGGGAACATCTTGGTCTTGGCTTGGGATGGTCAACAGGATGGTCAACACTAAAAGTGGAGGAGTCTGCACCAAAAACTTTTGAGCAAAACCCCCACACCACATCATCATGACTGAACAGCAGCCAACCACTCTGATCCTCAAAAGATTCATCCAACTGCAACACACCAGACTATCACTCCTCAACGAACTAGAACTAGCACTCAGCTCATCAGAACCCAAGAACAACAACAACAACCAAAAAGAAGAAGAAGAAAAAGAAAAAGAAGAAGAAAAAGATCATCATGCACCCAATACTCATTCCAGCTGCAGACATGAGTACAAGGACATCAAAACCAACCCAGAAGACTACATCCAACAAGTTCAGTCCAGCTTTGACTCCTCTGATTTTCTTTTTTGAAAGATCTCCGATTGACATAGGGTATCATCATCAGGTCATTTCCATCTCTACTTCTGGATTCATCGAGATCAGAGACGAGGTGAAACTGTTGATGGACATGTTACGATCTGATCTCGATCGAGTCGACCTCTTCGAATTGATCGAGCGGATCGAATCACTCGAGGCTAACAAGATGTCCGAGGTGATCACTCACCATATCTCACCTATCACAATCTTTCCCATCCACATCCTCAATATCTTCCTTCCTTTTCTTTTTATATAGTATCTGCAACAAACTCTGCTCAGGAGAAAGGCCCGACTAGAGGAACGTGATTACACCGAGCTAATCAACAACCATCAAGAAAAGTAAGCTGAAAACACGCACATATCCTTCTTCTAACTCTGATTTGTTATGTTGATTTATTGTTTCAATGTAAAAAAAAGGGTCGATCTGTTTGCTAAATCGATCGCTAGTCTGACTGCTGAAGTCCAAGCCGAACTCGCTGAGCTGACTTGATCAACCAATCGAAATGAAAACAAATTCTCTTTCCTTGCGGGAGCCGATGCTCAATCTCTTGAACGGACGGACCGGCTTTCGAGCTGGTCCGCCCAAATTCATGATCAACAGATGGTAATTTATGTTCGGAAATCTCTCTGGAATTATCGACCGATTGATGTCTGATAGAATGTCGACACTATACATGCACACATTAAGTGAAAAAAACACTCGGCTTGTGATCAGTGCATCAGAGGATACTCATCAGTTATCATTGACCATGCTGGTCCCGTACGGTTCTGATAGTTATATATATAGTCTACACCTCCTTCGAAATGCTCAATCTCTTGGCCTTTTTCTTTGCTGGTGTAGGATGGAAGATCTTGAGGCATTTAATAAAGGGAATAATACAAGAAATTGATGAGTATCTTATAGATGATCAGGCAGTTCCTTTCATTGATTGGAATAAATGGTAATTGCAAAGGAATCAACAGAAAAAGCAGGTATCAAGATTGCAATCCCTCCCAATTCAGCTAAACTTTGATGGGATGGGATGGGATGGGATAGTGCTCTCAAAGAAGGCTCACAATAAAACACAGTCAGATTGAACAATGGGTGTCTGCACAATGAGGTATGAGGCACAAGGAAGGATAACGGGTATGTGTCATTATTATGTTTGAGAAATCAAAACAGAACAGAACAACCATGACTTGATGGGAGTTACAAAAAAGTAGAAAATACAATTGAGAAAGACGAACATGACATTGAACCCAAGAGGACGCCCCCAAAAGACAATTTACATAGATATATACAGAAATCATAAGTTTAGATTTCAGTAGAAGAATGAGCTGAACTATAAGAGTTCCATGCGGCGTGGAGGAGGAGGACTAAAGCTTGGCCTTCCGGACTGACGTGACCGACCTCAGCCTTGGCACCACTGAAAGCTTTTTCGGCGTTCCAATCCATTGGGTCGACAACCGGGCCGACCGCGCCGGTGGTGATATTAGTGTATTTGCTGAAGATGGCGATACGCGACTTAGCGATCGTGCTCATGGGTAGTCGGGGCACGTATGAGGGCACCAACGAGGCTAGTCTGTAGGCCGCCGATGCGATCAATGCGGTACCCGAACAATCTGGGTCTTTGATCAGGAAACGCGTCGTATGTACGAGAGTCGAATTAGTTGACTTGGCTGGAGACAATGTGTCTAGGGAAAGGGTTGGGAAAAGGGGACTTACAGTTGCGCTTCGTATCGTCCGTCAGCATGTAATTCGGGAGCAGCTTGGTATCCAGCTGCTGATGCGTGAACGCGTCGTTGGCGATCTCGAGCACCCATTCGGCCAGATCATTCCTCCACGCCTCCGTCTTCGCATACAGCCCAGCATCTCTCAGGTTGTTGAAGGTTGCATAGACTCGCATCATCCCAGCTGCCGCCCAGCCATTGCCTAATCAATCATAATCGTCAGTTTTTTTTTTTTCCTTGTCCCAAGCAGTCGTGCCGTAACACATTTTCAACATACCTGTGGACCAATATAGACGATCCTCATATGAGCCTATGCAAACCAAAGCAAAAAGCAAAAATGGTGTCAGATTTCCTTGTGAGGATTGCCTTGGAAAAATAACAACATTTATTTACCTCCGATGATGTGACTCCAGAGTTTTGTGTCAGAAGAAGTTTGCAGTTTTTGTCTATACAATCTTACTTGATCATAGGCAGTCTGGAGCAGGGTGATATTAGACGTCGCGGCGCCATAATAAGCCAAAAACGGCGGGAGCATATACATGAAATCCGCCCTAAGGAAAACAAAAAACCAATTGAATGAATGTGTCAGATTTGACGGCTGTTGATGATAAGTATTGGGAAAGACTCACCAGAATTGGACTTCATTGTTTCGCTGTGATATGGCTCCCTCGGGAGATCGCGGGACATGGTTGAGCGACCAATCTAACTGGTCCTTAGCCAATTTCATGTATTTCTGTGAGCGATCTGAGTCTGAATTTGCGAAGAATCAGGATCTGAAGAAAACAGTGCAGAAGGGAAAGAAGGGATTGATTACCATTGGAAGTGGCTGCGGAGGCGACGAGGACGGCGATCCCCAGACTGGCCGGATCGCCCGCCGAGCCGTCACCCTCGACAAGCGGAAGCGTGTTCGGATCCCGTCGCGCCAGAATCGGGTCAATTAAATCCAACATCGACTGGGGCATCTCGATCGGCCCGTCCTCCTGTGATAACGGCAGCTTCCTTCCGGTCGCATACACGCTTAAGTCTTGGTATTGCATCTCTAGCAGCACTTGAGATTGGGTGCCCCACTCCCAACTGTCAACAACGAACAGCATAAATTGACCAGAAGAGGTTAGCACTGTGAGATAAATTTCAACTCGGATTTACTCAGAAAAATCACTCGCCTATGACTGGCCACTTGATCCAGAACTTTGAGCACGATGTGAGCCGTGTCATCAAAGGAATTTTCGACCAAGTTGTCGTCCGGAGCGTAGGAGTATAAGATCTTAGCATTCACGTATTTTTCGCTCTGCGGCTCGACATTGAGTGCGATCCGGGTTGAGCCCTGGATCTTGCGGAGTAAGGAGACCGACTCGGACCCGGCAATACTTCGCTTGGTGCGCGTCTGACGTGACTCTCGGCCAGACCGACGCTCTGAGACTGAGGCCGTAGGAGAGATCGGCAGAGTTGGAGCAGAATCATCGGCCAGCGTAATTCTTAACTCCTGAAGGGCCGAGCATAAGACATTAGGCAGAGATATATGCACCACTAGGAGCAACCATAATTTTCCAAGCATGTTCGAAATCTGGGTAGAACTTGAATAGCAAGTCTTAATTATTGATTTAATGCTGGGGTAGCTCGAGCGGGATGGCCTAGTTAGTCGCAGAGCTTTGGTGACCGATGGGATCCGGGTTCCTTCTAAGGTAGTATAAATGAGATTTGGGCAGCCTTTTGTGTGACTTTTTCTGTATCTGGATGATAGATGGAGAGCCAGATGAGAAAGAGTGTTTTGCCCGACAGATCAGTGAAGAGGATGAAGACGGCTGGAGCCATCAAGGATATTTCTTTATGTATATCTTTTTGCAGCAGAGAAATTGTCTTTCAACTGAAGAGCTGATCAGGCTGGGCCAACTGGTCTTTCTTGTTGCTCGGATAGGCATCCTTCTTTCCAACCAAATCAGACTGGACCGTCTCAGTAGCGAGGACGGTGTCGAAGACTCGCACTCTCCAAAAGGCTTAGCCTGAGTACAGTGGAGGTCTGCTCTGGGACCGCCAACAAAAGAGGGCACTGGAGGGAACAAAAAATTGATCATCAAGCCTTGGCAAAGAAAATGTGCTCAATGCGTGAGCTTGGGCCTCTTTCAAAACTGAGCACAGTCATCGTGCTACAACTGTGATGGCAAAGAGAGGCCAGAAAGCTCATGTGTGTTGGAACCGGTGTGTTCCCGGTAGAAAACCGGAGTGCAGTACTTTCCAATCAACCGGGAAGGGGATTCACTGCTCAAGCATCAGTGAACTCGATAATCACGTCTTCAGCTAACCCGCAGAGCAGCATCAGTTGAGTAAGATTTTCGCGCGAGTGAGAATACGTGCTTCTCTTCGCCCATGTGGAAGGTGGCTCATCAATCACAATCAGAAGCCGCTTTCTTTTGTCGGAGACCAGCCTTCGTGCAGGGTGCAAGTTGAGGCAACGCCTTCATGAAAATACCATCAGCTGAGAAAGCTACGATGGCTCACAACGGTCTGGCTTGTGTGGTTGAGAAAGGATATGTTAAGAACACCATTTCAGGATCATATCATAGGTAACAAATCCAACAAGATTTCGAAAATCCGACTGTTCACAGTGAGTCAATTTGAGCGCAGAAAATCTGACAAGCCTACCGAAGTGATCAACTCCGATGGATACCTATTGGCAATTGAGCCTATATCGGCATGAGACCTTATCCAACCTGTGGGACTGCATCGGGCATCTTCAACTTATTCACGACCATGCGGCCTCAGAAAAAGTTGTTGATGCAGAATTTCTACCATACGGCCTCCTTATGTAAAAGTGGTTGACAAATTATTTTTTTTGCAGAGCAAAGACGTCTTCTGCAGGCGCGGGAAGAGTGACTGCCCCCCCGTTCGACGTCAACTTGGGAAAGGTGATGGGCGCCGGGCTCGGCCATGTTTTCAAGCTAAGTATAATCTAAGCCGGGGCGGCGGAAGCAGAGGCGAACCTCTCTGAACGCTATGTAGAATAGGCACGTACGCCTGATGACTGTGGCACCTTGTGCGTTTTGCAGGAGTCACCCACGTCCGACCGAACTCCAACTGACCCAGTCCAAGTTTTCAAGCAACATATTTCGCAAATCAGCGCCAGTGATTGTCCCAAAAACATCTATCGAAAGAATCCGAAGACTCATCGATACATATTACCAGGACTGGATTTAATCTGTCAGGTTTGATGATTGTGGGCTCTGTCTAGCATTGGCTTGAAGATTCAAATCGCGCTCCCAGCCCCATGAGAAGCAGCTATATCATATATGGACTTCATCCTGCTCGAGCAGTCGAGATAAGCTGAATTTCTAGCTCATTTTTTGGAGAAGCCCCTTCATTTCTTTCCTTTCATATACACAAATACCTCTTCTCATATACTCCAGACATGAAATAATGTCTTGATTTTGCGGTGTGACGGTGGGCTGGTATCACCTGTATATAATGTCTTGATGTCGTAATGAACATATCACTATAACTTGCATAAAGAACGAAGCCTTCATCGTGGGCGTCTTCTAATGGTTAGGAAATCTCGTTGTGGTCTATCCGGAACCGTGAAAATGTCGGTTCGATTCCGGCCGCCCACAGGTGCTACCTTTTGCTGTTGCGTGTGGTCAAGAGTTGTTTGTTTTTGTCCGGATGGGCGCTCTCAAGTGTACTGAATTTTGCCACACCGGTCTCCTTTTTTTCGCATCGAAGTTCGTTGGAACCGACCGACTCGTTGCTCCCTGTTGCTCAGAGCTTGATCGGGGCCCTTGGGTTTCATCCGGGGTAGCACTCGGTGAAGCTGCGCTGTCGTGGCCCCGATACTGGCGCAAGCCTCAAGGCCAGATTTTTCAATGACGTCACCTCCTGCTGGCTCATGTGACCAACTCGTTCCTCCACCAACAACATTTGCATGAATAACAGTAAACAGTTGTTGGCACTTGAAACCACTCTATCTCAACTTGTTTCCCTGCACGCTCCACAATCAACTCTGACCCTAGCATCATGTCAGGAAAAGAATGGATGTCTGCTGCGGTGTTAGAGGTGGGCACTTCTCACCGATAAACTTGACTCTGGGTTCCCCTCGTTGGCCGCTTGGGTTGACAATAGACTGATTGGTGCCTGTAACTATTTCTTTAGGCCGAGAAGAACGGTTTCACCGATGTGAACAATGTCCTGGCCAACTTACCATCCATGTAAGCACGTTGGTGTCAACGTTTGCCAGACTAATTCATCCAAAGAGGGTTAAACGGAGCTTATTCCACAGAGGAGAACAAAACGTCGATAGTATCACCGATAACACTATCTTGGTGGGCCCTACGAAAAATGTGATGGGGACTATCATGTTGGGCGTTCTGACGCAAATTTTCCTAACACATGCAGATTAACAACCAATGTCCTAGTCCGAGGATGAAGTTTGTCATGGCGAAATTGATCCAGCACCTCCACAGCTTTGCCAAAGAGGTCGACTTACAAACAGATGAGTGGGTAAGCCCAGAAATTGTAAAATGATCCTAGTCCATACCACAACTTTCTAAGAATTTTGCTTGTTGCAGCTAGCTGGGATCCGTTTTTTGACTGAGACGGGTCAAAAGTGTTCGGACGTTCGACAAGGTAAATTATGAGAGCAAACCCAGCTCTAGCGAAATATATACAACGTTTTATTCAGAATATTGATCGGATCATTATTGAGGGGGGCTCGTCCAGAATTCATCCTCCTCTCAGACATCCTCGGTTTCTCTGCCTTGGTTGATGGTTTATCCAATTGCAAGCCTCCCGGGTGCACCGAATCGACCGTTTTGGGCCCGTTCCACACCGAAGACGCACCACAAACCGAGCAGGGTGGAAGCATAGTCTCCACATCTGGAGGGAGAAAGATGGTCGTTGAGGGCGCGGTGAAGAATCAGAAGGGAGAAGGGATTGCAGGTCAGATAATTCTAGCGTTGAAAATTGGAAGTAGCTCTAGGATACTAACCAGTGGGCTTCCACCTTCTCATTGTAGGGGCTCAACTCGATGTTTGGGTGCGATCATCTTCAACTGTTGCATATGAATAGTGCTTTTGTTGATCTTTAGGCTGTGGACATAGGAAACCGACGAGAATGGGTTTTATGACGTGCAAAATGCTGACCGCAGCGGCCCTGATAACCGCGGTATAATAACAACAGATGATTCTGGCAAGTATTGCTTTGAAGCGATTGTACCAGTGAGGATTCCCTTCAATAAACCTTCCTCCCGCCCATCGCATATCTTGATGAATTTATACCTCTACGCGTAGATGGCCTACCCAATCCCGACAGATGGCCCCGTTTCTGGGCTTTTGAAGAAGCTTCAAAGGCATTGTTTTCGTCCGGCACATATTCACTTCATGATCAAAGCAAAGGTCAGGCCAAAATTTTGAAGAATCTTTAGTGGCTGATCAGCCCCAAATTTCCCTTTCAAGAAACGTTTAATAAAAGCCTGCTTTTTTGGTTTTGATGACAGGGGTACGAGGCACTCACTACCTCATTGTACATCAAGGGAGACCCGTTTATCAGCTCTGATGCCGTCTTCGGTGTTAAGAATTCGCTGGTAGTTGATGTTTCAGAGAACTCTCCAGACGCCTCACACCCTACCAAATGGTGGAGTTTGAAGTACGATTTCACCTTGCCGACGGAACAAGAAGCTAGTACCTTCAAATCTTCTCGAAGAAATGACGTCCTCGGCAGTTAAGCAGCTGCAGTCAATACCCACACTCAAAAATCCCAATGCGGTTGAGCTTGAGTTTGGTTGATGAGATCAACATTTGGTTTGATGAGAAATAGGCATATTTTTATGTTTGATTCCGGTCAGAATTTGCTGTTATTATACTCTTGTAGGATTTATCTGATGGTTCCAGATTGTCACTTGCTTCTTTGAAAAGAGTGTTGCTCACCGAAGCCAAAAATGCACCAACAAAAAGGAATGGAAAACCTAAAAATTCTGCGCTACTACTATTCTATTGCAAATCTTTGACATTTTAAACGCTCTCAATATCACATTTTAGCCAATTGGGCTGGAAACCCAATTTTCCTGGAAGCTCAATCTAACAGGAAATCGCAGACTGAATTGTGATACAAGATTGTAAAAGAATGGAACCCTTGAATTTGTGCAACCTTCAAGTCAGGTGAGCGAGGGAAATTGTGCCCTAGTCGCACTTTTCAGTGCATCTACATACTTTTGGTGCAGTCAAAAGAAACACCCACGGTTCCCTTTAGCAAAGATCCTGGCGGGCTGGAAACGGTATGCGTCATTGCGCAGGCCTAATTGGAAGACTGGCAGAGTGAAGGTGGGAAGGGGCACCCAAATCAACCCATGTGTGAGTCTTTTTAGAAGCTATGATTCACCTTAATCTTCAGCTTTTACTTGAAATGGCCAGCGATTCGTGCGCTTTCTTCCCCCACGGCACTACCTAACCTTCCCTAATATTCCTTTGCACTTCTCCAAAGTTGACGTGTCTATAAGCTGGACAAGCCATTTATTTTTCTTAGCTCAGGTCAGCAACTACCGACGTATGTAATCACTCCTCATGAACAGCAAATTTTTACTGATCTCAAATTGGTTATCTTATTTTGTCGTATACCACATGCAGTCCTTCACATTTCTGGCACTGCCGAGGAAGCCTTCTTAGCCATGCTCAAAACCCCTCAGAAGGTCACAGCCACGGAAGGCAAGTGGATCAGTCTCTTCCTGATTTTTTCTTTACTCCAAGGAAAGAAAAAACTGAACCGAAATCCCTCTGTAGAGCCAGCGGAGCAGCCAATCTCTCTGAACTCCATCGGGATCATCGTAGAATCAGCTATGACGGCACTTCGTGCGGAATTTGAAAATTCGCTCAAAAAGTACTCCGATGACCGGTGCGAGAGCCACCAGCGAATGATGGACAAGGTAATCGGACTTCAAGATGAAGTAGCTGGATTCGATGAAGGCATCAAGCTCAGTTACAGGCGACTTGAGGGACCCGTTTACCGCTCTACCAATAATCGTCGTCGTCGTTTACTTCTTCTCCATCGTCGCGCACGTCATCGTCGTGAACAATGAGATAATATTTTCTACGTCTTTAACCGTCTTATACAGTCTCAGCTCCGACCTTCCACCACTGGCACGAGTATTTCAGTCTATGTATCCACTCCACATCATCATGTTTTCTCTTCAGCTTCTTGGCTCATTGCTACTTAATTTCACCACCAGGAACATGTTTGCCACTATTTTCTTTGGGCCCAATCACTGTGACAGATGATGCTCCATTAATCACCTGAATCTGGCTTTCAAAATTGATTCTTGCAGATATGCAATGAGGCCAGACTCCAAGTACAACCTGGTTGAGAAACCTCCTAGTCTAAAAGAATTTCCTTCAAAACTGACTGTCCCATTTTTTTCAAATGGTTGGATTTCACATGTCATCGAGCAATCATTGATTTTCTCCTCTTTTTAAAAATTCATTAAGTCTACGTTTCTATTGAATACACAACTGTATTTCATGTTACATAAGAATTTTTTATTCATCACATTACAAGGCTTAACAGCTACATAAAAAACACAATCTTCCTTTGTGTTCTTGGCAAGTCCACTTGTAAGGATTTGCTTTTTCTTCAAAGCAAGGATTTTTTGACAAAGGAAATGGTTATTTATCTCTTTACTACAACCAAAGAAAACCTTACAGATGAGAACCACAAGAAATTTAGGTTGGGTATTGATTACAAAGCAACTAGTTTGAAGTCTAGAAGTAAACATTAGTGAATCTAATTTGAGAAATCATTTACTTTTGGAAAGGAGTGCACGGATGGATCATGGAGGCAACGGTGCAACAGATACGGGACATGTATTCGTATCGGATTGTATCGTATTTATTTTGAGCCTGATACCGGTATCAGTATTTCCTTGGTTGGTGAAAAAATACATTGTATTGGATTTGGATTTAAAAATGAAAAAAAAATTGTCTTGGTTTTTTTCGTTTTTTCTTCAATACGGCCAAATATCTTAAGTATCAAATACGGTTTTGGTGGGATCAATCATCTGAGACGATACAGAATACATTTCTCACTTTTCAAATACGATACATGTATATGTCTCAGGAAAGTGAGACAACACAAATCCGGTATTTTTGGGTATTCAAATTCTGAGACGATACAGATAAACGCCTGATACTGTATCGTATCCTCTCTGTGGCACCGTTGATGGAGGTCTGTAACGGTGAAGCTAGCTGTTGAGATACCACACATTTGGGAAGGGCTTACAAGTTGTTTAGTGGCAGTAACCTGTTTTCATTTCTTGCATGGATGCCTATGCCCAAATCAGTACCCCTAAGTTCTTGAGTGGCCACCTGCACACCAGTCAAGGAACTACATCAACACAACAATATACTCAATTGATCTACTACCAACGGTGCAGCCATTACGAGACACGTACTTGTAATGGCCCGTATCATACTTTCAAAGTTCGCAATTACACGGAATCGTATTGTACTCATTCTTGAGTACGATATGATGTATTTTTACATAAGCGTACTTCCCCAATAATACGATACACCGTACTAGTAAGATTATGTACTTGGGAAAAGTACGATACGTGACTGATACAGATATGTAACTAGCTGTAATTCCATGTACTCCTTTTTTCATTTTTTTTCAAATTTTTTTCAAATTTTTTTCAAGTTTTTTTCCTGATTTTTTTCCTGATTTTTTTTTTCTCAATTTTTTTTCTCAATTTTGTTGCTCAATTTTTTTTTCTCACCTTTTTGTTCTCAATATTCTGTTCTCACCTGTTTTTTGGGTCAGGCTAGGAGATTGAACAAGCTGGTTCACTCCAAACCATTTGGAATGAAGTGTTTTGTACTACAAAATCTGGGCCCAAGTTTGTTGGTGTCATATGGAAGCATTTTATGTGTGAAATCAACTCAAATTCTATCAAATTTTGTGGGGATTTCACACATTATGCTGCTACAGTACACTGCTACATTGTGCAAACAAATGGGGACCTAGTGTTTTTTGGAGTGTTCAACCTTGCACTCCAATTTTTTTGGAGTGTAAAAATGATGCACTCCATTAATATTCAAATACCAAACACTTCCAAGTTTTTTTGTCAGCCTTAGAGCAAGCCAAGCTGGCCAAAAGACTGCTTAATTAAGCCCTCCTTTTCACTCAAGTTCACACTGTAACTTTTTCATCTTAATCTTTTATTTAAGGGCCTTAATAAAAAAACCCGCATTTTCCGCGTTTTGACGCGCTTTTGCTGCGGCACAGCACACGCGCATTCCGCTTTTAAACCCGCATTTTTAATTAATTTTTTTTTGCCATTAATTTCGAGTTTTTTTGATTTTTTAAAATTTTTTCCTACACTTTGAAGGGTGTAGAATTTAATGGTAAAGTCCATTTACCATAAAAATGACTTTGATTTTTTTTTTTTCTGCTTACTCATTTTTTCAATTAATTGTTTGCATGCATGTATGTACCTTATTATTTATGCGTTTTTGAAATTTTAAAATTATTTCCTAGGTTTCAATGTGTGCAGAATTTAATCATGGCTTAAAGTGTAGGAAAAAAATTTAAAATGTCAAAAAATAATGAAAATTAAGCTCTTAAAAATCAATTGAAAAATATGACTAATTACAGTATTCAGAATGAACCGTTGAGTTTTAAGAAAATTGGATGTTACCATCAAATTCTACACACTTTTAAATGTAGGAAGCAACTTTAAAACTTCAAAAAAGCATAAAAAATAAGGTACACACATGTATGCAAACGATTAGGTGAAAAAGTGACGAATTCATTAAAGAAACGTGTCAAATGCAGCATTCAAGGTATAGTTTTCAACTTGGTGAAAAATGGTTGATACCATAATTTTCTACATGTCTCAAATCGTAGGAAACAAATTTAAAATGTCAAAAAATGATGAAAATCAAGCTATAAAAAATTAAGTGAAAAAATGGGTGTAATTTGAGTATTAAAAGTGAACCGTTGAGTTTTAAAAAAATTGGACTGCGCCATTAAATTCTACGCATATTAAAACCTAGGAAATAAATTTAAAATTTTAAAAAAACATAAAAAATAAGGTACATACATGTATGCAAACAATTAATCACTTTCAACACTACCTCATATCCAGTACTGGATATGGAGTAAATAAAACTGGATATTCAGTGTTTTTTTTTAAAAAAAAAATGGTGTGAAGAGGTGAACAAAAAAAATATAAAAATACTACATATCCAGGTTTATTTTACTGCACATCCAGTGCGGGACATGAAGTTATGTTTCAAGTGAATTGAGAAATGAGTGAAAAAAAATAATTAATAATCAAAATTCATTTTTATGGAAAATTATTTTTACCATTAAATTCTACACCTTTTAAAGTGTAGGAAACAACTTTGAAAATTCAAAAAAACTCGAAAAATAAGTGGTAAAAAATTAAATAAAAAACCGCGTCTAAATGCGGAAACCCCGTGTGCTGCGCGCAGCCAAAACCGCGTCAAAACGCGGAAAAACCGCGTTTTTTTATTAATGCCCAAAAAAAAAAATGAAAAAAATGAGAAAAAAATGAGAAAAAAAACACAAAAAAGCATTGAGAAATGCAGTAATAGTGGTGAAACCCATCCCCATAATCATACAAAACTAAAAAATGTTGAAATTCTGTAATCAAGTGTGTTCTAAATATCAGCACATCAGGCAGGGACTTGGTGGCCTAGTTGGTAAAGGCAGCACTTCTAGTATAGTGTCTTAGCTTCAAGCTAAGGTTGCTGGTTCAAATCCTGCCCAAGTCAATTTTTTCTGCTAAGTGTCTGCAAAATGCATTGTTAATTTCAACAAAAAATGCAATTTAAGGCAGTGGGGAGAAAATAAACTGAGTACGCTGAATACCGTACTCGTATCGTCCCAAATTCTGAGACGATACGGCTGTATTTTAAATTGTGTACTCGCCGGCTGAGTACAATGTACTTGTATCGTACTTGTTGACTAGGGTGATATGACGTACTCGAGTACACATGTACTCAAGACAAAGTACAGTACAATGTAATGCGAGTACAATACGTGTATCGTAATGGTTGCACCGTTGCTACTACATACACATACTAAATTGGATGCAAATGCTGACAAGAAAAAAGAATGGTTGATGACAACTAAACATCAAAAGAGTCACAACAGATGGGCTAGTATTCTCTGTGGAAATGATAAAGAAGAAATATAGAAGGGGTAGAAGAAATTAAGCAGGAGTAGAAGAAATGAACAAGGATTAAGAAATCAATAAGGATTAGAAGAAATTAATAGAAGAATAGAAAATCAGAAACAAAGCAGATAAACTTACTATCTCCTTAGTGTTGATTCCAGTCTGGAGCTCTCTGCTTAGCTAGGAGAGCAGACATAAACTAGTTATTCTGTCAAAAATTGAATTTAATAATTGGTTGCAGTTGTTTTGTAACATGTGAATGACACAGCTTTCAAACCATGTGAAGCTTATATCTCTTTGGGTATTTCCTTTAATTTTAAAATGCAATTTGTTAATGTATGAGTGAAAGAGTCAAAGAGGGAAAGACTCAATTTGTATTTCTGGATCCACAAACTCAGACTATAAATAGTAAAGAAAATATGCTACAAACAAGATAAAAAAAGTAGAAAGCTATTCTAGCCTGGACTGATGAGAGCACAGAAAGATACAAGCATGACTAGGAAAATATGCTGATAAAGAGTTTGAAAGGAAAAAACAGAGAGCTACAATACATGAATACTAACACAATTTTGGATCAAAAACATGGTTAGTATTTCTAAACAAAGGGGAAAAATTGAGGTTGTGGAAATTTTTACGTGAAATGGGGATTCCAAAAAAGAAATGTGGAGATAAAACAGCTTCAAGTTCAATGACAAGGATTTTTTCCTGTTTTGAATCAAATTTCATCAAAGTCAATTAAAGATTGGCCAAGTGAGCAACTTCCAATATTTTGCATGTTTTCTTTCCCTTGTAATTTTCCTCTGGAAGAAGCTTTAAAATTCTTCTATTCACAGTACACAGATGAAAAATAGCCTGGTCAATATATTTCTAATTGATGGACAGGATTTTCCTCAAGTTCTCAGTGGATGGATACCTGAGGCTACAGTGGCATTTGCCATAAAACCTATAGTGGTAGTAAAAAATGAACCCTTGAGCAGTGCTTCTGGATAGGAGAAGGTGCTTGCCATCTGTTAAGCTACTCTGCAACAATGGTGGGCCAATTACACTAAACATGGTTTCAGTGTAGCTTAGCATAGCATATTTCCACTAAAGATAGTGTAGTGTAGCAGAATTCTGCCATTCTGCACTAACACTAAAAGCCCAGGCCGCCAAAACGCACCCGCTACAATACACTAACACACTGATTAACAGCACTGTTGCCCTTTAGCAGCTGTGAGCGGTCTGTAGTGTAGCAAAAATGTGCTAACATTGCACTAACACTACATGTTTCTTTGTGAAAAAAAACCACTACACTAACAGTCAGTGGTCAAATAGTGTAGTGCAGCGTAGCAGACCACCATTGTCTGCAAGCTAGTATTCAAATAAAAGAACTGAATTTCTAAATTGGTTTCAGTCACTGTTCCGGCTTGCCTGGGATGAAGTCAACACCACTGAGCTAGCAAGAAATACAATTGGTTTGTAGAAGTTCTCTCAAAGTTTTTCAATCCTCATGAATGAAACACAGTGGAGATCACTTGTGGATCTTGCAACTGTGCTTGAACCAATTCAAAAGATCAATTGGTTTCTCTTCTTATCACTTCTGAAAATGGTAAAAAATAGCCTACATTGACTCATTGGAACCCCTGCCTTTTTTTCTCAAAAATTTCAAAGCCCAGAAGGGACCTCCTCAAAGTTGGACCTGCTAGCTGACCACTTCCACAATTCCATTTATTGTATTCATAATCAAGAAAGACATCTCCATGATCTCTGGAAGTCCATGATTTATGGAAGAAAATACTTCCAAACTAACAGAAGGGGTTTGGGCATACCTTGAAGTTTCAAGCCAACAAAATAAAATGCATTATTTCATAATTTATAGTGGACTACCCTCACACTGTACACATTTCAAGTGCATCATCATGTTGGAATCACATGCCAAGATGCTTTCAGTAGCCAAGATGCATACAGTTTTTATTTCAAAAGTGCTTTCCTTTTTCTTCCATCAGTTTTATCTCATATCCTAATATATATCCAGTGGCTGATTGTTCAACATTTTTCATTTTCAAGATACTTCATTTATCCCAAGTTTCTCCAGGTGCAAGCTTTTCAATTTAAAACCTGACTTTTTTGTTTTGCCTTTTTGGTCATGGGATGTGTTACAAGATTGGAAAATATTCAAAGTGAAATCCCCACCACATCAAGCCAAATTCTCTGTAAGATCTGACCTAATTGTTTTACATCGATCCCACGAAAGGTGTTATTTGTGAAATGCAGAGAGGAGAAGATAGATCCCAAGTAAGGTTAAAGGGGCAAGTCTCTCAAAGTTAAAGGGGCAAGTCTCTCAAAGATTCCATCGATTCTGCTGCAATTAAGTCTCAATTCCAAGGGGGCCTATGTACAGTTGGTGAATGGTAATGTATGTGAAGTTCTTCCTGAACAGTGGGTGTTTTTCTTTTGCAGTAAGAATGCACACTCGCGGTGCCGAGGGTAGAGCCTAGAGGTCCCAATGGGTTAGAAACCAGTTTGTGCGGGCCTCATTTGAGAATGTACAACACAAAGAAAGTGTGAAGATCGAAAATGGATACTTGTGCCCATCTTTTTTCTCTTTCCAGGAGATCATTCACGTCGCTTTCCATCTTTTATAAACTCCTTGAAACATGTGTTAGTGACGTTTGTTCTTCTTCACTTAATCCACCAACAAGCCATTTATTTCTCCTAACTCAAGTTTGCAACTGCCAGGGTATGCATCTACTGTTGCGTGTCTATTAAATTCTATACTTTTCTTACCACATATCTTGTTATCTGTTCTAGGGCGCATTGGGTCGTGCTCACTCTCCATAGGTCATACACCAGCGGAGGAAGCCTCCTTAGTTATGAGCACAATTTCTCCCGAACCAACAGCAACGGAAAGTGAGTGAATCAGCCTCTTCTTCATTTTTTCTTTTCTTAAGAAGGAGTCAAACTGAACTTCTTCAGACCCAGCGGAACAGTTAACTTCTTTAGATTCCATCGAGGGCATTGTTCAACTAGTCACATTGGCGCTTCGAACTGAGTTCAAAAATTCTATGGAAAAGGCGTTGCGTGGCGATTTCGACCTCGAGCAGCGATTGATTACAGAGGTCTCCGAACTTGAAGATAAAGTAACTCGACTTGATGAAGAATTGCAGTTGGGTACCAGCCGACTTGAGCGAGCTGTTTATCGTTCCACCAGCAATCGCCGTCGTCGTTTAATCCTTCAACGTCGTCATTTACGTCGTCGTCGTAAACTGTGAGACCGTCTGTGTCCTGTCTTGTCTTGTCTTGCAGGTCGTCTTCAGATCGAGTATTGCATTGCAGTGTACATCTCACTATTTCTGTTTGCCCACTCCACCTGGATTGTTCTGTTTTCTGTCTACCTTTTTTGATTGTCGACTCCCCATTTACCATGCGGAACATCCTCGCTAAGAATTCATCCTTTTGAATCGACATCGGTCGGACCCAGCCCGGGCAGAGCCAATCTGCTTCAGTAAATCCCTCACCGGCAAGTCTCACCACCCAGCGTAATATGAATCTCTACTTTCAATATTTCCAACCAGATTTCCAGCCGGAAAAATAACCTTCCCATACAATGTTGATGGGTGCATTGAAGCTTGAGAGATGAGAAGTAATGTGACGCTTCATGACATTAAAAATGTGGAACTAGGAGACTTGCTTAAGCATGTTGATCTTGGCGACTTCAATCAATCCTTACTGTTCTACGTGGAGAGTGTCTAAAGAAATTTCAGTTAGGATTACCCGCAATAAAGTAAAAAAATGCCGGGACGCTCTGTATATTGGGGTAACAAACAACTTCAGAGGCAAGCATCATTTTCCTACCAGCTGTGTTTTTGGGATAGTCATTGATATTGAAATCCAAAATCCATCGCGGCTTATCCTGATTAAACCGGCTACTCCGGAGCAAAACTCACCAGAAAGCACATGATGTTCCACCTTGTGAACTTAGGTCTACGCCTGAGTGTGAACATGCTCAACTTATTTCCATATATCAACAACACGTTTTTGAATTTACGAGACAGATGTAGGATGGGCTTAAAACGCTGACCTTCAAGGCCCTGATGACTTTGGCAGTTCGCCCAGGCAAGAATTACTTTGCAGCAATCTTACCAGAGAGGAATTACTCCAATACACGTGTATTCCACCCATGGTGCATCTTTTTGAGGTTCAATCTATTGACTATATTTGATCAAGACCCGGGAAGCCTTTAATCGTTTGATGCTTGGTTTTGATGGGGCAACAGTTGAGCACAACTTCGTCATACATCAAGGGAGACGCGTTCATCAGCAAATTCACCGATGGACGATTGTTTAGAGAGCTCTCCACGTACCACACCTCTTCTCAGATGATGAAGCTTAGGATTTCATCTTGCCAGCGAAACAAGAAGCTGATATGTGCAAGCTTTCTCGAAGGGAGAGACTCTGTAGCATTTAATTAACAAATCCGTTTAAGCATTCATCAGAAATCTCCGCGTTATCCAGTTTGATTTGATCATAAAAACACGTTTTCATGCTTGTTTCTGGTTAAAATATGCTAGCAATATCCTGTTGCAGTGTTTGTGTCGCGTTTCCGGATTCTCAATTGTGTCTTTTCGTGATTATCAAAACTTAAAGTATAATATAACTATATATTTTAAATACACGCTAGTACTCCTTTGATAAATTCTCCAAGAAACAAAAGCTAAACAAAACTTTCCGTCAAGGAAAGATCTTTGGGTGACGGATTCTTCATTCTCATTGCGTCACTGCGTCCACACACCTGCATAATAGCTTTGTAACTTATGTGAAGTCGCTTCTCAATGGAGGAAAGTAAAAATGCACACCCATGGTTCTCCTCAGGAAACACACCGGTTGGCTGAGAAACATCTCGTGTATGAGCCTCATGTGAAGACACGCAGCGTGAAAAATGAAGCGGAGCCTATAAGCACACTCTGTGCGTCTTTCTTTTCTTTCACCTTATCATTCACGTCGTGTTATAACCTTTACAACTTCCTTCTAAAAAGCTGTCTCCTTTATTTCCCCGACAATTCAACTTGTCCGCTGCTTACACTCTGCACTGGCTCCTCTAATCTTGACGAGCCCTTTATATTTCTTGAATCACGTTAGTAATTGGCAGGTTTTGTAGCTGCTAATCATACCAAAAAGTTTGCTTATCTCACTTTGATTTGTTTGCTTTGTTATGCACCGTACGTACTGCTTCCAGCCGCGCACGTTCTTGACACTTCGCCTGGGAAGCCTTCCAAGCTATGCACAATACCTCTCATATGATAGCCACGGAAAGTAAGTCAATCGGCCTTTTCACCCATTTTCCTTTTTTTTTGAAAATAAACTGATGCATGATTTTACAAAAACACAGCGAAGCGGGTGACCCCTTCAAAGACTGAGGACTTTGTTCAACTAGGATTGACTGCGGCTCTAACCGAATTTGAAGACTACCTTGCAAAGAATCGGGACGAAAGGTCCAACATCGAACAGCAATTGATGGAAAAGGCTGTGGCACTTGAAAAGGAAATCGATCGGCTTAGGAATGCCCTATGGCTAGTTAACGCCAGAATTGAAGCGACCATGTACCTTTCTACCAGTCATCGTCGTCGTCGCTTAATTCGCCATCGCCGTCACGCCCGCCGGCACCGTTGGCAATGATTCCATCCTGTCGGCTTGGTTATCTGTATAAACACAGCTGAACGTCAAATTTTGTGCAACTGCTTTTCATGCGGGTTGTGCTCATTTTTAGCTTATCCAAAGCTTTGTCATCTTCATAATTGTACCAGATCTCAAGGACCGTTTTCTAGTATTCATTAAATTAGATTAATCATCTCTCCCATGAAGAAAAACAATTCATGTAGAGAGAGGCCAGATTCCAAACCTGTTCTAGCAAACTTCTCGCCTGCAAACCTGGCTACATATCCAATGAATACTTTTTTGTGCTGCTTTGCAGCAAAAGGAAACAGAAACGGCATGCAATTTTGGATTAGCACTTTAATCACAGATTGAAATCAAATACCTATCTTACCCATGCGGAAGAGACATGTGAATTTATCATTTTCTAATCCAATACTTTGGATGGCATCTATTATAGTGTGTGTATTGTAAGTTGGGATTACCCATAAGAAACTGAGATACGGGGCACACGACTGTGAGCGAGGAGAGATTGGAAAGAATTAAAAGATATCAAAATCTTTTATGAGAGACAACCTGAGGAGTTGACAGGAATAAGTGAGACGATAAAATAAGTTCGAATGAAGAAAAACAAAGAGAACAGCACAAACAACATGACAGATGAAAAATATCCCCCATGAGTCATGCAACAATCTCTGATCCTCTTGACCATTCTCAACCGTCTTCAAAGGTGCAATCCATATGAATATGACCATCACAACACAACCAACAGACACTTTCCCCTTTTGTTTTTCTTTTACTGCCTTTGGAAGAAAGAAAAATGTTGTATATCTCACATAGAAGGGCCTGAAATGAAGATTTACAAGGTATTTTTCAAAGTAGTTCATGTTTGGAATCAATGCAATTTTTAGCACTTTTACCAATAAAATTGCATTATTGTTGTGAAGCCTTCCTTGAGATTTAGGAACTTGGATCTTTTGTTTTAACAGATTGCTTTAGAAAATCTCTGTTCCAACTTGAACCAATTAATTTCAAGTGAGTAAAATGTGCACTTCAATCTCCTATTCATCAATGTATCATCAGATTCTTTGCAAATACTTTATTCCCCTTTTCAATTCCTTCAAGGAATTGTAAGCTCTTAAAAATTATTGTATAATAAATAATGAAACAGTATGATGTATGAGAATTTTCATTTTCAGGTGAAATGGCGGATTTTTACTTGCCATGAACACTATGTTTTCTTGAGGGATTACAAAATTAGCTGGATGGAGGGGAGGGAAAGGATCAGGCAGTCAAGTCTGTTGAGACAAAATTACAATCAAAAAATGGCAGTTTGAAAATTTTGCCCCACTAAATGCAAAAGTCTCTAACATTGAGAATTTAAGTGTATGTAAGTGCCTTCTTTGGAAGGTGCTGTGGGATGGTATTCCCACTCTGCATACTGAGTGGTTCAGAAGTTACAGTAGTAGTTTGACAGACCCCAATGGGCTTCTTCAGATTGAATCCTGAGTCAAGAAATTGACCATGTCTTTTACATTTTTAAACTAATTGGTATTTGTACACGCATTCAAGAATTTCAAGGAGTGACACTAATATTCTAAAAAAGGACCCCAGTTCCTGGGTCAAAGATTCTCCTTCAAACAACCACACCCCGACTGGCATCGCTTGTGCAGGGGAGTCAAATATCCGAAGACAATTAAAGATTAGCGCGATTACCGATCAGGAACTGGAAAATGGCCAAGCTGGCTTCAGGTTGGTCGTGTGGGACCATGTGCCCAGAATCGGAGACTTGTACAAAGGTGAGACCACGCTCAGTGCGCTAAAGAATAACATTTGTAGAAAGATGGTCAGGAGATTTCGATGCTGCCTGCGAAGAGCGTTCACAATGAATGAACAACTTACGTATTTTCCGTGTAGCTTGCCAGCAACCATGAAATTGGTATCAATAGGCTTTTGAAAGCCTTGCTTGCCTCCCCATGTCATTGACCTGAAATATTGATACAGGTCAGACTTATGCGGTTTTTGGAGAGGCCCGGTTGGCCGGGGTAGTAGTAGGATGATAATTCTGATCGGATTACTCACTGTAGACCAAGCTTCTGTCCGTCAAGTAGGAGTCGGGCGTCTAAGTCTCCATGTACAACAATAGTCTTGCCTTTGGGAATGATATCAGGTAGAACTTTGATCGCAGGAATCGGTGAGGAGTCTCCATTGGGAAAAATCTGGTGGAATTATCAAATGTCTCAACCCAGACTATTTCATCACCAATGATTATGGAGTGGTAGACTTACGTTCGTGGCATCGGAACATCGCAGCCAAGGCACATGACCACCAACATTCAGGGCTTTTCTAACGTCCGGGCGGTCCAAATAAATAGTGTTGGAGAAGAGAGGATCGGAGCCTCCGGTTTTACGGCGAATGTTGCTGTAGGGAAAGATAGTTTGAGCCTGTGATCCAAGTACTGATTAATGAGAATTAAGTCATCAGAAGTTTGCTTACTAAATGTCGAAATCGTCGGGCAAGGTATTAGACATCTGAGTCAAGAAAAGACAATTTCAACAAAACTTGTACTTGTGGGATGGGGGGAGGAAACCTACTTTACGCCACTGTTTACATTTGTCGCCTTTTTCCCCTTCAATAACCTAATTTTTGAGGAGAAGGTAGCACTAGGATGAGTCGCTGATGTAATTCATGATTATAAGGCAACATATTCTCCTCACACTGGAGATGTTGGGAAAGCGTCCTGGAACGGGGAATTTGTAATACTGGTCAAAATTTGAGGTTCAAAGCAAAGTCAGATACTTTTTCAACGAGTAATAAAATTAGATAATTCTACTGTGTGTACCTTTTCAATGAAGTCGGCGTAGCCACATGTTTTGTGGGAAGATTCAAGTTCTTTCATGAAGGTAGCGTTGAATTTGATGACATCTGGGTGCTAAGAGTCAGGTAGGATGATTGGTAAGCTGCTGTCACGAGGGGGAGCTGGCTCATAAGAACTAACCGATTTCACAAAGGGATAGACGAAGACATCCTCTTGTAGGACCGAGCTGGATAAAGAGGCGTCGCAAAGTCAGACGCCATACTCCGACAGATGAACAACAATGTGACCGACGAAAGCTCACTCTGACAGAACTGGGTCAATGAAAAGTACACCTTTCAACTTCAATGCTAGTTCGGATTGCCTGGCGTAAATGAGGTTTGCCGTGTAACTTATAAACAGTCCAGCATACGATTCACCGGTCACTGTTTTAAATGTATGAGAGAATATTAGTCTCTTTTTGGTAAATCGTAAAGAGTGTTATACTGCTTACAATAAAAGTTGGCCGAATTCATTTCAGGAAATACCTAGGGTAAGAAATAGTCAGTCATTGGGGTACTTCCTCTTGGTCAGAGCACGAAGGTAAAAATGAATGCAAAAAAAGTTGAACTAAGTTCAGGATATTCAGCCGCTCACTTTAAGAAAATTAGTCAGAAACTTGAATATGTAATCTGCGACCTGGTTCTCATTATTGATGACGGCCTTCCCGGTACTGAATCCAACGTTAGCCGGGTGCTCGAGGTATAGCATGTTGGCAGCTTGAGACCAGGAACTTTCATGGCGAGGGATTGGTTTGAATTCGCAAGGCTTCATAAGTTCCAACGTTACAGAAATTGCGAATCAAGTAGTACCCGACTTACTTTGGGTTCTTGATAGCTTTTGCCCTACCCGAGTCCCACATTATCTAAAGGGTAAAGGTGTCGATGATTAGAATTCAGATTTTTTGTCAGGAAGCCTATTTCAAGGTATTAAATTCAAATCTTACCGGACCGTTTTCTTGGAAGGCGCCAACTAGAGAGCTGCAACCAGGTCCTCCATTGGTCCACAATGCCAAGTTCTTGACCGCGGCTGGGTTTTCAGTGGGTATGAACCAAAAGAATAATTGTTGCTCGGTTGAGTCAGGTTTATCGGAAAGCTTCATCAAACCAGCGTACCTGTTTGGAGTTTGGAAGTAGAAAGTCAAAGCAGTGAGGGAAATCTTCAGCCTTTCTTGTCCTTATTCTGCTTATTAGAAGGCTACAAACGTTTGGGGGATGGAAAAGTCCATTAACGGAAGTTTCTGGGGTACCGCATATTTTTGAGCGGAAGCCGATCCAAATTTGAGGGCTGAACCTGTTGGGGGAGAAGACGTGCGAGGCGGTGGGACCGCTTTACTTTGGATTCCAAAAGCAAAAATTAAAAGATAGGCTGATAGGGAGAGCATCAAAATTGGATAGCGCATTGTGGAAAGTTTTCAAATGATCGAGACGCGCTCCAAGTTGTGGGAATATGGACGACAAGTCAGCGACGACTGGAAAACATGGGGTCATTCTTAAGGAGATTGCAAAGGGCATTGCTATCTTCTTGTCCTAAATTTCGCTGCCCAAATCGGACCAAGAGGGGTTCGGCGGAGAAGGGCTGCCCCACACGCTGCTTTTGCAGCACGATACCCTTCTCCAAAGCATTGTGGATTCCGCAACCATCTCAAATCTCTATGGTGATGAATAGTAGTGGCTAACATGTGCCCATACAAATGTATATACAAATCCTCCACACATGGATTCGTGCTTGAATCTGCTCGAATCCTTTAGGTCGTACATGACCCCCTCGGTCAGGGTATGTAACCAAGACACAATTTTGCGCTCAATCTTAACAAACGAGTTGAAAGATGCAAATACTCGGCACACCAAGTCTTTACATACAGAGCAATTATGAGAAAGGGAGACCCATTGGTTTGGTTGACGTTACAGTCGGTTTGTTGTAATTCATTGTACACGTCAGTAGTCCGGTTCATACTCGAGAATTGCACACTGCAAAAATTCGCCTAGCTCAGATTGGCCCGAAACAACTCCAAGTTGACATGGAAAGTATTTGTGAAATTTTATCTCAGAGGGAGCTTTACAAGGGCTATGTACTGTAATCTACTTATTTTATCTCTATGGCAAGCGGCCTCATTAATCAGAATGCAAAAGTGCAACGACCTTCTCCATTACCAAATGAAGCCTGTGATGGTCAAAGAAGTCGTGTCCCAACTCTCGTCTTAAAAGACCCAATAGCCATCGGGCGCAACTTGATTCGAATCTTTCGTGTGCTGCTTGATTTCCCCACATCCTTCGGGTGAAAGCCTCGACTCGTTGCAAAAAGTGATCGGAAATAACTCGAGAATTTTCGGGTACCTCTGGATCCCCCCATGAAATCCTGAACGTGCCTAGATGTAAGGAGCGCAGTCGAGACCTCTGGCTTGTCACTCTGTAGGCCACCAATCCGAACCGCGAGGGTACCGTAATAATCACCATCGAAAACTCGCGAGGGGGATAGAACCGTGAAGGATTCAAATTTGTTAGCCAAACTGCTATCGTAACGCAATTGTTGAGTCGGATGATGTGACGGTTGTTCATTGTCATCTTTCCTATTCCAGAAGGCGTAATGGACATTGGCAAGACATAAATCCGTGTTTTCTACATGAGCATCACAATGCCGAAGTGTAATAGATATATAATACTTACTATGCCAACCGGGTTCAGACGTCGACAGGCTTGTCTGATGGAAAAGCGGTAGTATGCGAATGAAAATGCAACAGGAGTGGGCTCGTGTTAGGTTGGTATGCTGGTAAGTGCTCTTTGAAAGAGTGATTGGTGGCTGTTTTTCTATAATCCTTAGACCGATTTGAAGCAGATAACTCGCAGAGTCGGAGGATAGGAAAAATAAATCGATGGATATAATGGAAAAGAGAAATTTAAAAAGCTGCCAGAGCTCGAACTTGAAGTAGGGGTTGGTATAGAAAATTGATGTCTACCAAGAGAGCCGTCCGAAATGAGAAACGCTGATGATGATACTGATGGCAACAAGAGGAGCCTCCGATGGGTACTTTATATGCGATAATTTCCAAGCCTTCATGATGGCCCGAGATAACTTTTACCCAAAGATTTTGGCGGACGGACGGCTGGAATAGAACAAAGGGGCACATCAGACGAGGCAGTTCAACTTCATGGCTCAGAATGTCTTGCCACTCAACACTTTTCAACAGAATTCAGCACAAGTTGAACGCTTTCGAAGGGGAGAAGCATTGGATTGAGCGCCGAAGGATGAGATCCTTTTATGTACCAACCGTTATCATGCCTTTGTTTCTGTCTGATAACGAATACGAATCATCCCAAGGCACATCCATCATTGAGCTCTTCGGAAGCAAAGGCGTCATACATCAGTAAGCTGTATAGGAAAAAGCGAACCAGTGCGCTGAGAAATCATCTTACCAAATAAATCGAATTGACCATAAATTCACGTAACGCACTGAGTACCTGATGCGCAATTCAGGCTAATTTGCAAATGAGTGGAGGAACGGCTTCAGGTTCACTTTATGTTTTCGTCATCCAAAGTCCATTAATTCAGAGGGTGAATCTTGAAGGTTCAAGGCAGTCATGTTCGGAATTTTCCGGTCTTAGTACACTACTGCTCATTCAGTTTCCGCTGTTGAGGCTGGAGCCTGAAGGGTGGAGGTTGCTACTCACTGCCAGTTTGCAGAATATGTAATTGGCTTTGTATGCCTTTGATGCACACCATTGTCTTCTCGAATTGCCCAGTTTCCTCAACCCGTAACTACCTGACTTGGCCAAGCAGGACACAAAGGGCTATAAGGGCGTGATAGACCGACGAACCAGCAGCCAACCCAAGTGATCAAAGATTTTATTTCCTTTGCAGCGGTAGCAAAGTCAATCAGGGATATCCAAAATCTGATTCCAAATATCCCGAAACGGGAAGGGTTACATTGGTTAAAGCTGGGATTGTTCCAGCGCGACAGGACGTTGCTCAATGATTGGACATGTGCATATATATGATAAAGTCTAGACTTCATGCTGCTCTGCGCAATGATATCTGCGATGACATCCTGTGACCCGTCCTCGAGGCCGAAATACGTGAGCGACTGTTGATCTTACTCGATTGTTATGATTGCAATTTGCAGTCATTCCAGGATCAAACAGCAGCAAGGCTGCAAGCGGTACTACGGCAGAGTCGTAGACGGGAAGCCGAAGTTTGATGAGTACAACAGCGGTCGATCGGCCCATGAACAATGTGGTTGAATTCAGGTGTAACCTCCGGCGGCGACACTCCTGCTTCCAAGCCAAGTTTTGGACTCGCAGCCAGCGCACAGGTCCCGGCCATGTACCCCCGCTTGAAGACTTGCGAATGGTCCTCCTATGTAGGCTGCACAGACCTTGTTTTACAACTGTGTACTCGAAACGCGACTCATCGGGGTTTCAACATTTTTTCCTCGTGTGGTTCGGGCCGACTGGGCAGCCTCTAGTAAGGTTCAGTGGCAACAGCCGTTAGTGCCAGTGGCGAACGATCAACACGGGCGATTCTCTGTGGAACACGGGCGGTTCTCTCGACTGGCCTTCTCTGGCCGCCCGAACTGTATGTAAAGTTGTATGCGACTCCACCAAGGTCCAAGAGGAAGTTGAGTGTGAGAAACCGAGTTTCGCTCATGCGAGACACTTTGACGGATACAGAACTCTTCGTCCTTACGTCACCCATTTCTGTGCCTCGCCCCATAGCTTAAATACCCTGCCCGGATTGTCTCAGCCGGAGGTCCAACATCCGCCCCTTTTTCTCCCTGGTTATTGGCCATGTATCCCTTATTCTCATCACTACTCTGCTTTGCCTCGTTAAATGTGTTGCCTTTCTCGGTCTTGGCTGGTGCTTCCGAGCGAGGCCCGCCCTTGCCTTCGACTCACATCAGCTTGTCATCATTCAAATGGTCTCTTGTGAACGCCAACCGCTCAATCGTCGTGCCAACTCCTTTCTTGAATCAGCCACATCTTGCCCTCATCAAGGCTGGCGTGATCGACGATCCGAATATCGGATTGAATGAAGGCACAACCCGGTGGGTTGGTGAAGAAGAAGCGTGGACCTGGGAGACAAAATTTAAGGTTGATCTCAATGATGGATGGGCAAAGGCGGAGCGCGTAAGTCAATCGTCTGGTTAACATGGCACCCAACACCCAGCTTGAATCATGTGCTCAAACAAATCATCTTTAGTTCTACCTTGTCTTCAACGGGCTTGATACCTTCTGCGACATCCAAGTCAATGGGCACCGGATTGGCTCCACAGACAACGCGTTTCGAAGCTGGGTATTCGATGGTAAGCTTCGGGACTTGGTGGTGCCAAGAGCATAATCAATGGAGAATGCTTACTCAACTTAACATTCTGATTGACTGTAGCCACTCAAGTCATCAAATCGTCCCTCAACCAAACAGTCCCACTCTCTCTCAGGTTTGCGTCTGCCTACGCCACTGCCTCTAAACTAGCACATGAACCAGGCAACATGTGGTTCCCGAACAAATCGGCAGACAAGAAAAATTCGACCACCTTGCAGCCCTTCGAGTACAACTACCGCAACTGGGCACGCAAGCAGCAATCGGATTTTGGGTGGGATTGGGGTGAGTAGTGCAACCATGTAACTCTCACTAGGGTTCAAATTGATCTTCAACTAACCACTACTTTTTGTTTCATCAGGACCTGCATACCTACCTTCTGGCCCGTTAGCACTTTTCTCTTGCTTAATATAAGAACACCTGCTGGGTCTTTGCTAATCACGCGTTTCTATTTTGATGACAGGATCAAGCCTGCCTACTTGATAGGTCTTTCTGCATCGGCGCAATCCAAATTTGAGCTGGTCGACCAAAGAAAATCCCATCAGCCCCAGACGAGGATTGTTCATGAACCATCGTCCATCGCGCCTGTCAAAACCCGCAAGGAATTATCACTTCCCACAGACAAAAAACGGAAACGGGCAACGGGTGGAACCAAAAGTGCACCCTCTCTTTGGGTCCACAGGACCATAATTGATGTTTATCGCATAGGTATTTGTTACTCCAATCGGCAGAACATGTGTGGCGTTTTATCGGAATTCACTACTGACAATGTATGTCTTGTTCTGCTAGGCCAACGTAACAATCTGTCACCTGATCAAGGCGCGCCCTGGGTCCTCAACATCACCCTCCCCATCACCTCACCGAAGCTCGTCAATGCAACGTTGTCCGGCGTCCTTTCAGGTACCTCAGTTAAACTGCCAGCGAAGCGACTCACTACACTCAAAACTCCGCCGTACAGAAACTTCGGCCCCGATTACTCTCTGACAGTCGAGTATATCATTGATCCTAAACAAGTCGAACTTTGGTACCCTGCTACTCTGGGTACACCTACGCTATACGATCTCGAATTGACGCTGCAAGCGGATGGACAAGAAAGCGGGGAGTTGGCCTGGAGCGAGAAAGTTGGGTTCCGCACCATTGTCGTGGACCAAAGTCGTTACACGGACCAAGAAGTGTCGAATGGCATTCGCCCTGGTACTCGTTTTACTTTCGTCATCAATGGCAAGCCCTTCTATGTCCAAGGTTCAAGGTATGTGGGACTTTAGTCGCCATTTTGATCTCATGACAATCTACTAACATTTTTCGACTTGGTGGACAGCATGATCCCCATTGATAATTTCGCGGCTCGAGCCAATTCTACCACCATCCGATGGCTTCTTGAATCTGCCTTGCTAGCGAATCAAAACGTTGTCAGAATCTGGGGTGGTGGTGCCTATCAGACTGATGAGTTCTACGACGTAAGTCAGCCTCTTTAAATTACCCTGCGCAAATTTTCAGTTGGCTATCGTACTCAGGATCCACATGCGTTTACAACGCGATTGTCTTCTCTAGATATGCGACGAACTTGGTATCTTGGCTTGGTCGGAAAGCGTTTTTGCCTGTGGCGCTTATCCTTTGTCACCTGATTCCTTTCTGGACAACATCCGCGCAGAAGTTTCTGAAAATGTCGCAAGGTTGAATCGCCACCCTAGCACTGCTCTATGGGCTGGCAACAATGAGGTTAGTGAACCCCCACGGGTGTTGTCGAACGGTTTCTGAACAATGCTGCCTTTTTCGACAGGGAGAAGGATACCTGATTGATGTCAATCGGACCTGGACGAATGGGTCAATCTACTTCAACCAATACGACCATCTCAACAACCGTATGTGACCTGACATTGCGTATACAGCAGAATTGAAGCTGAAGCTTGGTTCTTCTTTCAGATGTTTTGCGAGAGCTTGTGCTAGATAACACCCGCTCGATATCATACATCCCATCATCAACTACACAAGGGTACATTTCCTACCACATTCTATCTTTTTGAAATTTCATTAACCAACTGCTTTATCTGTGGAATCAGTTACCTTTCGCTCGACCCCTACGTAGCCCGTTACTACAACTCCACATCCGGCGAGCTCTATGGTGACAAGGAGCACTACAACTACGATACTACCGCCAGTTTCAATATTTCGTCATACCCGGTCGGCCGCTTTGTCAACGAGGTCAGTTTGAAAAATCTCAAACCCTTAATCAGCGACGAGTCTAACCTGTCCGTTGGCGGCCTTCAACTTGTTTCGCGCCTAGTTTGGATTCCATTCGATGCCATCTATTTACACCTGGGATCGTGTGCTTAAGTCTCCCCAAGACTATGATTTCAATTCCACCGTGATCCGGGCCCACAACAAAGTAAGCCACCTTTACCTACTGACACTCGTCTCTTATACTCAATCTTTTGCTTTTAACCTTAGCATAACCCTGCCGAATCTCTGGCGTATCCATGGCCGGCAGACGATGGTCAAATGCAGATGACCACCGGGGTAACAGATCATTATCCTACTCCAAGCATCACCGGTGACTATCATACTCAGTTGGCACAATGGGCTTACTCAACTCAAGGTGCGTGCTGCAACCTCGTCTTTTCTGGTCGATGGGGAGCTGATCAACATGCATATACGTTCCATTAGTGTTCCAAGCAGCATTCATGGCTTCAGAAATCAATTATTACCGTCTGGGTGCCAGTCGCGGTGAAAACAACATGGGTCAGTTGCTAATCCACAGTAAGGTACTGAAGGCGTGCTGATGGTGTGGTTTTACTTTTTTTTTCTGCGATGGATGCCACTTCCAGGCGCGGTATACTGGCAGCGTCAGTCAATTTTCTCTTTCAAATCATGGAATAAAGCCGGTGAGGTGTCTAACATAACAACGATTTTGCAACAACAGTGAATGATGTATGGGAAGGTATTAGTTGGTCATCGATAGAATACACCGGTCGATGGAAGATCTTTCATTACATTGCAGCACGCGTTCAATCCCACGTCATAATCTCCCCCATATTCCATCAGACAAACAACACTCTAGACATTTATGTCACATCCGACTTATGGTCAGTGCCGCATTGCTTGAGCATTGAGCAAATTCCATCTCCATTGAGTCTAACCCCGCTCCATGTTTACAGGCAACCAGTTGAAGGTACCGCGCAATGGACATGTGAGTGAACTCCCCCAGTTGATTTATGCATTTCTCAAGCGGCCATTGATCTTCCTCCAATCTGTAGGGTATGACTTTGCTGGTCAAAAATTGTCTGACACGACGACGAAGAGCTTCTCAGTTGCACCAATTCATTCGACCCAATTGTACCATGCGGGCGGTCTATCGGAGATGGTTCCGAATGGTCACCCTCCAAATGACGCGTGGATGCACCTTACCATGACCACCAGCGATGGCAAATACACCAATGAACAATTCTTTCACCCTGTCGCACTAAAGGATTGTCAGTTGCGACCGACCAAGGTTCAGAGTCAGCCGATCGGCCACAACCAGGTTTCAATCCAAGTGGCAGGCGGCGGAGTTGCTGTTTGGGTCAATGGTCTGTCTTCTTTTATCTGATACGTGCGGATATGGAATGGGCAAACTGATCAAAGTCCCATAATTTCGACTCTTTGTAACCTTCTTCAACAGTTGAACATCCTCCAGGTAAAACATGATTTATCTCATAAGCTCATAAGACTCTTGCTGACCAAACCACTGCTGCCCTCATCATTCCGCCCAATTATCTTTACGACAGGTGTACGCGGTTACTTCAAAGACATGAAGACCGGCCTACCATCCAATGCCTTCTTCCTCAGGCCCAAGGAGACAAGGCAATTAGAATTTGTCTTGAAGGGCAAAGACAGCGACCACGAAGGCTTGGCTAAAAATCTAGCATCCAGAATGGTTGTTAGAACACTCTGGGATAATCAACACCGTTCCCAGTAAACACCGGAATGCATTCTCCGGCAGTATCGTTTTCAGCTCGTAATTTTCAGAATTAATCGTCGTCGTCGTTATATAAGTAATACTTTAGAATTGGATCGTATGGTACATCCATACACCATTGGTTTCAATTTCTTGCCATTTCAATTTGCATCAGTTCGGGGTTTGTTAGAGGTAATCAGTTTATTTGTTCGTGGTAGTTTATCGCCAAAAGTTGTCTCAGTGGTTTTTGTGAATACGCATGATGTTTCTTTTTTTTGACTGTGTAGTCGTTTATAATCTTATCTCTCCCAGGTAGTATATTGTAATCCTACATGTCTACACACGCAGGGCACTTCACAAAAATCAGTGCATCCCAGGGATGCCATTGCACCTGAGATGTCTCTGGGACGGGATGCTGTCCCCAGGACATCACACTTAACAAAAATTGGCACGGCCCAGGGATGCCATTGTACCAGAGACGTCCCTGGGCCGGAATGACGTCCATAGGACATCATTGTCCATGCCTGGCATCCCTGTCACATCCCACTTGAAAAATTCAGTGCAGCCCAGGGATGTCATTGTCCCTGAGCTGTCCCCAGGTGATCACTGCCCCCCCTGGTGTCTGTCTCACGTCCCACACTGACTCAACAGTCACTTAGCCATTCCCATGAGGAGGCCACAGCATCTGAGTCTCCCCATGAGATTATGTTGTGTTCCAGAAGCCTGACCCGCTTCAACACTTGACAGGGGGACAACAGTCATCCCCATAAGGGCCCAAAAATTAGAGCAATTGAGCAAAGTATAACTGCTTGTACAACTTTAGACAAATTGAACCGGAATACAATAAGGGCTCCACCACAGGATTGAAATTACAAAATTATCATTTTTTTGGTATCCTACAAAAATTTATGAAACAAGGGTTTTCATGAGAATTTGAGGAAGATAAAACTTGGAAAACTTTGACCAATTTAATGTGCAATTTTCTAGTTGATTTACAGACCAAGGACTAGTGAGGTGAAGGCCATCAAGCCGGCCAAGAGGAGGAGTAAGGACTTCCTGCCCAGATTTTTGAACAAGAAGTTTTCTGGAAAGGTCATCATCAAGTTGATTGCAGTGATGAAGAGTGAGATGTATATTTCTTGGGTGGGCAGCACAGACTTCATGATTGAGGTTTGACTGTTGGTTGGGATCTTTAATCTCAAGCCAGCCAACATGAGGGGAGTCATTGGTTGTGCTGCGGATTTGCTTTCGGACTGATTCCCCGTCCCTCCGAGTATCCTCCCCGTCCTCAATCTTCTTCTTCTCAGACTGGCCTCATATTCAAAAAACGTTTCAACACCAACCATCAAAAACCCGAAAACCATGTTCAGTCAAATAGCAAACCAACGTAAACCAAACTAAAATACAGACACACATCCATAATGAAATCCTCTTATCTATTCAAATCATTCCCCAGCCACGAAAGGTCCCTCATTGGTCTACTCTATCCACAAGACTCTCATCATCTTCATCTACTCGTCATTCAAGACCTTCACGGATCATCGGAACTCATCCACACTCCGAATCCGCTATCGATTTGCTCCGTAAACTCATCTAATTTTGTTGGGATCCCGTGACCAAACTGCTTGATCTCGCTGTCAGTCTCATATACTTTTTTTTATTCCTCAAATCACTCGTGATTTTTCTTTTTTTTGTTGATTTCTTCCTCTCTTAGAATCTCTATCCTTAGCAGGAAACCAAATAGGCTTGTTTTCTGATCTCAATGCACTCTGACCGACGACCGGACGCGCCGGGATTACGAATGGCTGCTCGTCTGGCCTCACGAGTCTACGCGAGCTGATCCTGACAGGCAACCCCCTCTAGACGCATGCCGAGAAGGACAGACAGACGGGTCTACAGAGCTATCTCTTCGAAGTCGTCTGACGCTTTCCCAGCTTAGAAGTCATATCTTCGAAGTCGTCCGACGCTTTCCCAGCTTAGAAGTCATAGATGGCTAGGCGATTGATCCGATGATGAAGGCGATGATTGTCGCGACCGTCCGGCTACACCAACAGGTCTCAGTTGATGGCCAAGCCACTCGACACGCTCCCTCCTCAACCACCCCTCCCAATGTCAATCCAACCGGCCTTCATGAACGACTCTTCCACCTCAACCTTTGTTGCCGCCTTCTGTCTCCAATTCTTTAACGCCTTCAACCATGATTGCGCTAGTCTTATGGACGTCTACGCTACCCAGTATTCCTTCAGTCTCTGCGCCTCTCCCTATATTCCCGCCCGTGCTAAGATGGCCGGGCTGACGAGGTTCAGGCTGATTTGCACTGGTGCATTTCTCACTCAGATTTTCTTACATTTTTTGTTGTTGTTGTAAATGATCAATCATATGCTTCAGTGTGTTATTCACCATGCATATCATTTCACTATTTAATTCAATGTCTGCACATTGGTGTGTGGTTATTGTGCCATGAGTATCCTTGGGCTAGCTGGTGGATGTGCATAAGACAATTTTCTATGCCATCTTGGTACCAGCTCCGAGACACCACATGCCAAAAACCATGTGGATGTAAATCCTTTGATGAGACAGCCCTGAAACACCTCCAGGACAGCAGTGGGATGGATTGGGGGGACGTCACATGGATGCTCCACAAGGATGTCCCAGAGATGGCCCTCTATTTGTGGAGGAGCACGCGCCTGGGATGCTCTGATATGTGGGGGCTGCTGTCCTGGGGCCATCCCCCTGGACCCTGCCCCTAGGACGTCCAACTGCACTGGTGGTGTACCATTATATTTGCTTGCATCTTTCCCTTCCATGTCAGATTATTTTTGTTGATTACTAGCTTGCAATACGGAATACATGATCCATACCATCTTGATCCATTTTTTCATGGGTCCAACTCCGTTGAATTCACACAATCCGTTACGCACATTGATCGACTCTTATCCTTCGCGCTCTTACACTGTTCCACTCATCTTCACCCATGGTGTAAATTTCCTACTCAGCTTGAACAATTTCTAGCCTCCAACTTGAGGCGGTATAGAACAACTTCAGTGTCGAGTGTCCGCAGTTGGTTATGAGCCGTGCCACTGAGGTCCACCGTCCAAAGCCCGCGTCAGAAAATGGAAAAAGGCCTTCCTTGACATAATGACCCAGGCACAGACTGGCATATTTGGCAAGCACTCTTGCCTTCAGACAACCATTTAAACCCGTTGAGTCGAACCGATCTCACACTTCCTGAGCCACACACCCATATGCAATTGTGGGCTGATGATTCAGTCCCCAGCATAACATGTCATTCCAGTTATTCTTTTTTAATCCCCATGAGCATAAATGAAGAGATGAACAATTGAAGATCGTCAAAGCAGACCAAAAGTGTCTCCATCAAGGAAGGTAGTTTGAAATAGTTTCAGTGGCACAAGTCATCTGAGATGAATCCGAATTCCTTTGAGAACAAGAAAGAGAAAAACGAGTGATTCCAATGTGAATATATGGACCCTGCGGGATCGGACAGAAACCTTATCGAGTTGGGTATGACAAGTGGTATAATATCCAGCTATTCCAAACCAGCCTCAACGCGTGCTTCCCTGATCACAGACGCTAATCTCGCAAAACCCTAGTGTGAAACGTTCGACGCCATCAGCAATTAAAACTTAGTGTGGGCCGTGGCTGGAATTCTTGGACACTCACCTCATCGGCTGAGTCTGCATCGATCAAGCTGAAGCTTGTGCGCACGTAAGCGCTTTTGCCGGCATTGGGTAAAAATGCCTATTAGGGCCCCGCGTTTTAAGAGAGTACGAAGTAAGCATTATATTCTCATGATATCAAGAGAGCAAGATCGCAAAATGCTTACGCAGCCGGGTACAGCAAGCACGCCCTTTTGGACAGCCCGTGTAGAAATCAAGGCCGATGAGTCCGCCTCTTCCTCCTTACCTGGGATGGCGATGTTCAATTTGAGCCAAAGGAACATCCCGGCCACTGGCTTGTTCCATTCTGCCAATCCTGCCAAGTGTTTTTGGGCAGCAGCATCGACTACTTCAAGCTTGTCCGAATAAAACTTGGAGACTTGGTCGCAATGGGCTTCGAAGCGATCGAAGCCCCAGTGGCTTAATAACTTGCCGGCTATGGCTTGGGTCACACTGGAGGGCTGTAAGTTGGTATTCGAGGTGTGAAGATCTAGTTGGCAAAAAAAGAGTCCAGCATTAGTTTGGATTTCTACTTCTTTCAATTGGTGGGCCATAGATCATTAAAATAATTGTCAACTTACTGATAACTTCAACTATTTTACTCGGGCCTGTGACAAAACCAAGTCGAATTCCTATAATATTGACAAAAAAAACCCACAGCGCTTAATGATTACTAGAACGATGGAAAAAATCTACCGGATCATAGTGTGCTTAATCGAGATTTACCAGATGAGATGATTTTACTAGATGAGCGAAGGGAATTTCGAGAATGGACGATCTCAGCGGTTCATTTGATGAATCAGCGAAAGATCCGAATTCCAAGGGGAGCTGACCTTAAGGAGTCAAATCGAACGACACGACCAGTCTGACCGCGCTCTGATTTTTCCAGAGAAAAGTAACTGGGTGCTCGATTTTTTCTATCGAAATGCAAGAAGTAGTATGCATCGTCTTCAAACAGGAGCAAATCATATTTACGAACGAGCGCCAGGATGCGCCGCTTGCGATCGAGTGGGGCTGAGCAGCCTGTGGGGTTTGAGCCTGTTGGTCTGTTTCATTTGGATGGAATCAGTATGATTCAGGATAGCAGCCAGAGAAAGATCTGTAATACGAAAGGCTTACATGGAGTAAACCACCTTGGGAAATTTCAATGAGCTCGTTGCTTGATCAGAGTGCCAGTTGGCAAGTACGCGTTCAAGTTCAACGGCAGATATTCCATGATGATCGGATTGTATTTCTAAATTTTAGAGGTAGAGGTTAGTATCTTTATATCGGAGTCAATTGAAGGTTGCGAATGTAAATTTACCGATCAGGGTGCGGCCAGAGGGTTGAAGAAACCCGAGCGTGCCTCTTTGATGTGATTCAGAGCCCAACGAGATTATTATTCACCTGATACTGCCGATGATCCAGACGATCGAGGGAAGCTTGACTCACGAGTAAACAGGCGTTTCCATCAGGATGGTGTCTTCGGGATCGCAAACTGCTGCAAAAGCCTTCAAGAAAAAAAAATTCAAACAGATCAGCCTACCTCGGAATACTATATGAGAAACTTCATCAGAAATTACTTTTTCCATTAGCTCTTGACTACCAGCTCCGATCGCACAGGACCATCCTTCATCCTCTGGTTTTCCCCGACAATGGCATTTCTGCTGAAGTTGGTAGACCCAATTCAAAAATTCTGCCTGGCCAGCAGTAGGGCCGTATTGCAGTGCAGCGTCCAACTCGGGCCCACTCAGGCAGAGTGTTTCGGGTGCCTCCCCCGTCGCAACCGACGGCTTCAAGGTGATCGCAATCGACTCAAATGGGAAAGTCGCCGGGTTGGGCTTCCCGGCCAGCATGCTGATCATCCCTGGTCGCTGTTCCAGTGGGAATAGACCTCGAACTTGAAACAACAAAAAAAAGACATCCCACATCATTTTAGCTCAATACCCTCGTTTGCGATAGGCTGCTAGAAACATCTGCAAATGTCGAATTAGGATCAAGCAGCACTTACTTCCAGAGGGCTGCCATCGTTTGCCGGCTCGGCTGATAAACTTGCCATCGTAATCAACTGCTGGCTCCATGTTGGTATTTGAGCAACGGCTATTTGGCGGGAAGTCGAAGGGACAATGTGAGTCAACCGGGCGAGCTTTGGGAAGACAAAAAGTATGTACCGAAGGTGATGTTGGTGTTGCGGGCGGAGGCCGGAGGGGCACAGACGTCTCCTCTTATAGACATCTCCCGTCGAAGATGTCAATATCTTTCAATGGGTATGTACACTGGCCATCCACTCCATTGGCTTCAGCAATCAGAAGATCACACAACAGCCCTTGGACAACTCCCCGGTCATACCAGCGATACCATACATACACAACTATTAACTGATACATGTCATGTCGCCGGGCAGAATCTGTACAACCCAAGCGCATACACACATACACCAGCTGATTCAAGACTGCGTAGGGACATATGTACCAGGACATACCCGGAAGAGATATAGATACCCACCACTCGGAATCCGGATGATTCCTTGGTCAGACTGTGCCGGGAGGTACCGGTTGTACAAATGACCATTTTTTTCTTGACTTCCCGTGATCGATCTGCCCCACCACCCAGATCCTAACTTAGCTAAGTCCCTCTATGGGAGGGGGGACGCCGTCCCGCAGGGACCCTCCGCAGGAGGGACTTATGAGCTAGGTCGACCCTCTCGCCCAAGAGGATTAAAAAAATCAGTCTCTTTTTTTAATCCTTTCTCCTGGGTCTATCTATCAGTCGCCAGGTACAAAGTTGCCCACCGATAGGAGGGGCTTTTCCAGGTGTATCTTTCTATCCCATTCCTGAGTTTGTGAGGCCACTTGGGCCTTTCCCACATTGGGTTTTTTGTTTTCATCCTTCTTTTGCGATTTGGTGGAGGCTCCTGTATTGCTTGCCACACGTCAAGTACAGGATCTTCTGCATGTAATACAGTCTAGTATGCACATCTGATCATTCACTACATAATGCGATAAGAATGGCAACATCATGGTGATATGGATGGCCCACCTCTTTGGCAGTCTAACACGGGATTCCTTGAACAACGGTGGCTCTGATTAAACTGGAGACTGTGACAGCCAAGACAAACGGCCTACCTGTCGGTCTTGGCGATATGGAGGAGGCCTCCCTATTAGAACATATAACCAGTCGGTCGGTGCCAAAAGGACTTCAGGTGCCAGGTAAGAGGAATGAATGCAATTGGATAGGAAGAGGGTTGGGTCGCATGATTTGACTGGGTGGTAATGTCCTGTTGATATCACCCTGTCCTTGGCTTAAAACCCAATACGACCCCTCATGGGGTACTGGGTGTGAAACGCAACGGTAATTGCATGATACAAGGGACTATTGATTACTGCTGCATACATGTCTGAGGCGTCGAAGGACCAGGAATTCACTCTTAACCCATACAAAATATTCATAAGCTGAAGAAGGCTGGAATGCTTGTTTCTTTCACAAGCTGGTGGGTGTAAGAGGAATTGAAGACATGGCCATGAGGGGGAAGGATGCGCCATCAGATGTGCGAAGACTAGAAGTAAAATGGGTCATTGATGAGCTGTGGAGACGAGTTATAAAAAAGTCCCCAGCAAAACCCTTAATCCTCTTGGGCCGCGGGGGGGACAAAGCCCGTAAGTCCCTCCGGCAAGCCATCGGTCAACTGCCGGAGGGACTTAGTTAAGTTAGACCCAGATCGCTAATGCGCAAGCCAGGAACTGCATATCTGGAATTATTTACATATATACCCACGAAGAAAACAAGTGTTGGGCAACAGTAACTGACTTTCTTTAAGATCGGATGATCAGGAACGAAGAACTGCCTCAGATTCACGGTTGTTCAGACGCTTCACTAGCCAGCTCCCGTTGCCCAAGATACCAAGGATGGGCTACGGTCTGCGAAGGAAATCCCCGCGACACTTATCAGCTCGAAATGCGATTTTGGCTGCTTTCGCGGCTTCTTCTGCGATTCTGTCGCAACATTGGGTGCGATCGTTTCAGACGCCGTGTAAGTAGGTAAGATCCTTAGTAAAACGCCCGACAGGCCTCGATTGACGTCTTGATGTGTACGAAGTATCGGGATCTGATTCCTACATAAATAGATAAGGTGATAAGGCAGTGGGCTATAGTACTGAAATGGCATATACAAATTCTTTGCCAGATATGCCGGCAAAGTGAAGATCAGATTCCAGTCACATTGGTCATTCAGATCATCACTTCCATTATTCATCTCAACATTGTCTGTAGCTTGGCCATAGAGTGGAGTAGGGTATAGAGGCCAAGGGGATCATCGACCCATCACCACTTGCATACCCTTTTTAAGATTTAGAAGCAGAAATTTATGCAGACCACATTACGATACAAGATACATAAATGTAACATAATGCTGCAAAGCTCAATTCTAGAGGAATTCTAGACACAAAGTGGATTGTGAGCTTTTTCCCCGAGTCTATTCGCTCTGGCCCACTCAACTGGAAATGCACATCACAATGATTGCAACAGTCCTCCTCAGAGGCTGATACTAGAGCAGCTTATATCGGGGAGAATCCTTGCCCTGTGCACTGGTTCAAGGCGTCTCTGAGGTAGCAAATGTTACCAAATTGGCTCTTGTTTGTCAGCTTCTGAGGACGGGAAATATTGAACAAGCAGTGCTTGTTGTAACTGGTGGAATCAAGTCCGAAGGACCCCAGCTGTGAAGGGCCTTGCGGAAAAGCAGAAGGGAACAATTATCTTCATTCGGCTGCCACATCTTTCAAATTGAAATTAATAAATCATGAGTGTACAATAATAAAGACATTCATTTCAAATAGTTATGGCAACTTAGCAAGAATTTGCTACATGCGGACTGGCAACAACACATATGATGAATCAAAGGAATCAATTCACACAAACAAGAATGTGGATGCTTCAAGTTTTCAACGTGCTTTTGCACTTGGGAATCGATTTTTGTATTTTACTCGGTTATAATTTCTGCCAGACTTTACAGAAGGATGGTAACTGGATTAAGTTACAAGCGGTTGAATGGGACTGGTGCCAATCTTTCTATTAATGATGGGAGAGACATTTCTGATCACCAGAGAATCTGAATCGGCCTGGATTTTTCAGGGAGCAGAATGCTGATGCATTCTGCACATGTTTCTCAAACTTTGCAAAGATTGTGATTTCAAGTTGAGTTTGTAAATCATTCCGATGAAGCAAGCAAACATAGCATCTGTGAACATGGAAGCATTCAATTTCAAGCATAAGGCTAAATTTATTCCAACTGCCTTTGAAACTAGGCACAAGGTGTTGAAAAAGAGTGGTAAAAGGAGGGTTCTATCTGGTACACAATATTATATTGAAGGACGGAGATCAGAATAAGTTAAGCTAGATTTGACTGCCTTTGAAACTAGGCCCAAGGTGTGGATAAAGAGTGATAAAAGGAGAGTTCTATCTGGTACAGGATATTATAATGAAGGACAGAGATCAGAATAAGTTAACCTAGATTTGACTGCCTTTAAAACTAGGCCCAAGGTGTGGATAAAGAGCGATAAAAGGAGAGTTCTATGTGGTACAGGATACTATAATGAAGGATGGAGATCAGAATAAGTTAAGCTAGATTTGACTGCCTTTGAAACTAGGCCCAAGGTGTGGATAAAGAATGATAAAAGGAGAGTTCTATCTGGTACAGGATACTATAATGAAGGACGGAGATCACATAAGTTAAGCTAGATCTGACTGCCTTTGAAACTAGGCCCAAGGTGTGGATAAAGAGCGATAAAAGGAGAGTTCTATCTGGTAGAGGATACTATAATGAAGGATGGAGGTTGCATAAGTTAAGCTGGATATGACTGTCTTTGAAACTAGGCTCAAGGTGTTGAAAAAGAGCGATAAAAGGAGAGTTCTAGGTGGTGCAGGATACTATAATGAAGGACGGAGATCAGGATAAGTTAAGCTAGATTTGACTGCCTTTGAAACTAGGCCCAAGGTGTGGATAAAGAGTGATAAAAGGAGAGTCCTATCTGGTAGAGGATACTATAATGAAGGAGGGAGATCAGAATAAGTTAAGCTGAATCTGACTGCCTTTGAAACTAGGCACAAGGTGTGGATAAAGAGCGATAAAAGGAGAGTTCTAGGTGGTGCAGGATACTGGAATGAAGGACAGAAATTGGACAAGTTAAAGCGATTGTGACTGCCTTTGAAACTAGGCACAAGGTGTGGATAAGTGGTAGTACATGGAGAGTTTTATGAGGTAGAGTGTCATGAAGAGTGGGAACTGCGTGTGTGAGTGGTATCGTAAATTTGATGCATACTGGATGTAATTTAGAGCCGACTGATTGAGGAATTGGATATTGAGACGACTGATTGAGGGATTGAGTATTGATGATACAAGTAAATGAGAGTGAGACGAAAGACTTTCCAGGAATAAGATGAGAGAAGAGAGACAAGGGAATCTGCACTTTGGCAGATAAATCAGCAGTCCGACTGGCACTTCGAAAGAAAGAGATAGTGATGACTTACTTGATTTGTTCATTCAGGCGGGCTTAGTGTCTGGAGCGAATCTGACCACCTTCTTTACTAGTCTCGGAAGGTCCTTGCGGTCGATAAGGAGTCCCTTGGGCGGAGCAGAAAGGGAGGAGCTGGGAGGGAGACGTGGTGCGTCAAATTGGAGGTCCTTGATATCAGAGGGGAGCTCGTCGACAAGAAGAATCAGGCCCTTGCGACGATCTGATCGGGATGAGGATGGGGGAGGAGGAGGAGGGGATTTGGGGGTGGCCTGGGAGGCAGGGAGGCGGCGTGGAGGAAGGGGGATGTCATCCATCTGATAGATGGCAGCCATCTTGCCACCATTGAAAGGCATGGTGGCGGACCTTGCCCCCTTTCATGGTAAAGAGAAATTTATGTCA